TACATCAATTTTAGGGTTGGAAATATCTGTTTCTTGTAATTTGGCCAGAAACTTTTTTTTTCAATTTTATCACAAAATGTCCCTATGTTGAATCAGTGTCCTTATGTTGGGCCTTTTTTATAACTTTTTTGTGGGAAAATAAGTGTCCCTATGTCGGATTGTCTGCAGGTCAAGGTGTCCGCATGTAGTGTCACTGTATAATGACTGGTCCATTACAACGCAGTCGTTTTTAGGTCCCTGCATGCCCAATAGCCACAATGTTGAAAGAGGTCATTTATAACGAATTTTTTCTTTACAACGGAACTATCTCACTGCTGGTCCCATTGGTTTCGTTATAAAGAGATTTTATACAGTACAGTAGTATAACATGGAAACATAGATTGATGAGCATGAACTTGAAATGTTTTCCTGGGCAATTTAGCTAAATGCATTACGAATAAAATCGTGCCGCAAAAAATCTCGTTAACCGAATTCGTTCGTTATAATGAATTCTTTCTATGTCATTATACGGGTACCATATCATAAAAATCTTGGTTTCAAAGAATTTCTTCGTTTGTATAAGTATTTTCACAGTATAACACGGAATTGTTGCCCTGATTCTGCACACGGGCCTTGGAACTATTTGATAATTGACAAAAAAAGTGAAAAATCTAATTCGTCGTGCAGCCTTATAATTTTTATTGTGCAGTAAAATCTTTTTCCAACGAAACGTTTGCGGCCAAAAAAAGACTCGTTAAAAAGGAAAAAAATCGTTAAAACGAAATTAACATAGCGTTGTGGCTATTATCAAGACAGGAAAAAATAAATCCATTTTAACTTTGCAAGCATTACTTTTTTATTGTAACGAGATTCTACTGTATCGTCAAAAATTTTGGGCTCAACAAGTTATACTTTTCTCGTTTTTCTGCTAATAACGGACTAATCCCAAAACTCATGCGTAGAATCAGGTCAAAATTCCTTTACGTTGTGAAAATGCGAAATGAAAAGTTTGCTGAAAAATATTTTCATGACATGTTTCCCATGAAGAAACTGCTGGGACCCAGAAAGAATTCCTTGTAATTGAAAAAAAAAACCGGTAAAAACGAGATTCCCAGCGCTGTTGAAAATAATTATTCTACAAATAGAATAAATATAATTGTGCTGTAGGATAAAAATACTGTATTCTGCAGCGCTGGAAATATCGCGGTTCATAAATCATTTCAAGTCATTGCCGTTTTTTTTTGAACTTTATTTTTCAAATTTGAAGGTGTATGCGGTATTTCATGTTAGAGTCATAATATATAAACTACATTCGCGAAAATGTTCTCAAAATTCTGTGAAAATGCATGTATTTTTTCGTCAATATATCTTTTTAAAAATGCCAATTTCAATTGTTGGTTACATAATTTTCAAGATTTCGTAATGATCCTGACGAACGAGGTTGAGTGGGAATGTCCGGTGATGACTGATGACCAGCGTCCTCTTATTTACGATTATAAGTCCTCCCGATAATAACGAATCCCGTTTTATTTAATCAGCAAATTGTGAGTTAAAAAAAAAAAAACGCGTTTCTCCGAATCTGGTTCAAATCACACAGGGTCAACGTTTTAATACAAAATTTATATCTTGCCGCAAAGGACGGGTTCCAGTTATCATTTGCCAGTCCCGAAAGTTCAAGACGCAATTATCAAGAGTTTCCTTTTCGGGAAAGAGGATCCAGCTGATGAAACTATTTTCTTATTGTCAATTCTGACGCCCATGCCCTAAATATCTGACCGGTTTTCATCAGAAAAAAGTTTTATGGAGACATTTCTGGGAGTTTCTTTTCTTCTTAAGAAAACGCACTGATCCATAGTTGATGCGACATTCCGAAGAATTTTTTTTAGACAGACACTTTTTTTCTTCAATTCCACGCACATTAAATAGTCGTTACGATTCAAAGATTTTTTTTTAAATCCGCACAAGATGCGAGCTGGGATGAACATTTGTTTGAAATTGTTAATAAATTCGAAAAAAAAGTTGAAGACTCACTTTCAGATATTTGTAGATGACACTTGCGTTGCCTCCATTGACTTCCACCTTTTTGAAGAGCTGAAACTTGGGCACGAACCCGTTCCCGGGTCTCACGTACTTGATGGTGTTGTAAATTTCCGTCGCATTCGCACCCGGCTCTTGCTGCAAAATCCAGTTACATCAATTTATTTTCAAATTGAATTTGCGGTGGGGAAAAAAAAAGAAAAAAATCCAAAGGGCGATTTCAAAAGAAGAGCCCTTTGAATAAGGAGCGAGTTGAAAAATTGACGTTATATATACGGGAAATTTAAAAGGAGTAATCACTAGGAGTTTCAAAAACGTAAATGTGAATGAGTTTAATAAACGGTTTTTGTAAAATACTGTAAGAAGTAGATGTTCAAATTAGAATTAATACGACTGCATCGAAGTTGTACATGGAAAATAATGCCTGTTGAATAAGTTGAGTTCAACCAGCTCCGAGTTAGATTAGTTTGGAATTAATTACGTCACGTTCGAATCGTTGAAGGGATTTTTTGGATTGTTATAATGCTAAGGTAAGTTAAATTGAGATCTTATGCTTACGCCATTCTACGTTTACTTCCTTTCCCAGAATTGCTTTTTTTATATTTCCTCTTTCATCATGCTTGTATTTAATCCAATTACTTTCATGCTTGTTTATCCTGTATTTAAAACTTGCTTTTTCTACGCATACTGCGCAGGAAAAATCAGCCGTTGTTCATCCCAAATCGAGTTTTGTTTTGTTGTGTAATAGATGTCGCCTGTTTACCCAACCTGACTTACGTTTGAGAAATGATAAAAACCAGATGTCGCCTCTTTAATTCATCAAGACATTTGACGAAGCTGTGCGTGCAAAAAATACCAAACTGAAAAACACGCTAGCTTTGATCTCACCTATATCAGCTGCACTTGTAGAGTATTTCAGTATAACCTAATATGAGGGGTCTTCATAATAAATTATGATGAACTCACGTAGGCGAATTGGTTGCAGGGAAACCCCAGAATGACGAGGTTGTCTTCGAAGGTGTCATTGAGTGCATTCAAACCGAAGTAGTGCGGGGCGTAACCTCAGAAGGACGCCAGGTTGACCACGAGAATGATCTGCATGCAAACGAATAAATTGTTAGTATGAATACAGTACAATACTGTACTTTATCCGCAATCGACAATAGGACTATCGAAATTGCTAATTTCTGAGAAATTTTAACAATAACGGCGTTTTTTCTGTGCGATCAACGGAAATAGTCCGATTCCGTTCATTTAATTTCCTTTCCTAGAATTAAAAAAAAAAAACGACGGACATTTTCAGGATCCTATCGAACGAAAACAATAAATCATGAACTTGAAGTATAAATCAAGAATGTCACTTCTTCTTGTCAATTTGCTTTTCTATGTTCTCCACTAGCATTTATCGAGTCAACATTCATTTTATTGTTTGAGAAGTTTTAGCTGAAAATCGAATACGCGTTTTTCTATTAACAATTCAGCTGGCTATAAAGCTGAAACGGGGGGAGGGTGGGAATGTGCTTATTGGTTTCAAAACAATTTCTTGCTACTTCACGCAATACTGTACTATATTAAGCTTTCATACTTTTCGCACTTCATTAGAAATTAACCTGCTGTTCTATATTCTATGGTCTACAAAATATACGCTACAAGGGTTTCCGCTTTTGCAAAATCATAGCTCTTTCTCTTCCAACCCCAAATCGTGCATAGCATTTCCCGATAGATGTCGCCAGCTTTCTCAACCCGCTGACTTATATCGAAGAACCGCGATATAAACCCGCGATCGAATTCATTGACATTTCTAGGTAATCTAGGGGATGTGGAAAAATACGGAATTATAAAAAAAGTATCCAACGACAGCTCAAGTTCTAGGAATTACGAATAAAAAAAAACCTACAGGTGTGATATATTTATGGTTTTGCGTAGAAAAATCCCCGACCGCTAAAGTACTGTACTGTATTTGAAATTTCCAGCTACTCTTGAAAATATTAACGCAAGATGACTGAAATCCAAATCCAGACAACTTTATCGGGCTGTAACAGGTTGAACGTCATCTCGTGAATAAGATACTATAGCTCTTTTATAATTTACCGTAATAACTCATAGTAAAATACTATACAGCACTCTTTTATTGTTCCTTAAATTGGCTTTTTAAAATCAGGGCGGTGTGCTCAAGTTCGATGATAGCATTTTATATTTTGAAGTCGTCTCAAATACGCAGGTGACGAAGTTCATGAATAAAGGCATGAAACAAAGCACAGTTTATAATATAGAATATAGAGCGAGACCTAGCACCAGTTGCCGTTTAAAATTGCTGATATTTGAATTCTGATTTCAATTGAAGTGATGGCTTTAGGACGAGATGAAGCAGGTGACTGCAGTATTTAAATATCGATGGAATCAAGAGACTTTTTATCTCGCATAATTGAATTCGTTGAAAAAAGATTTTTATATGCAGGGTCACTGACCTTCCCCGAGTAGTCCTTGAAGTTGATCGTCCCACTACCATCGAGTTTCTCGGCAGAAAAGTCATAGAAAGATCCGTCTCCATCTTGCGAGCAGAGTTTGCTCATTCCCTGGGCCGATACCATGCCAAAAAGGGCCAGGAGAACCCCGGCTGCTCCCAACTGTCCCATTTCCCCCCTCAACACCTCACTTCACTGAAAATATACTTTTTCCTAAGGAAAAATTTAACGAAAAATATTACCGTTTTATTTTTGGAAGTATAAACTATTTGGATTATATTTCTTAAAAATTATATTTCGAACCTGGCCTTTTCTTTACTAGTTCACTTCGACGTTTTTATTGCATGTCGTACTTCCTCGTTCGTGAACTGAGTGGCGTCATATATACTTGAAAAATGATTGAGCAATTCCGAGCTTTCTTCCGAGAAATACGGTAATTTCTTCCACGATGATTACCGTATAGCTGATGAGTACAATACAGTAATCTCATACGGAGAGACATAAACTTGTTTTTCTCTCCTGCTTCGCTGAGTTGCATCATTTTTTATTCAACATTGATAATAACGCACTTAGTAGAGAGGCGGTTTTCGAAATACAGTAAGACCCCCACATTCGGACACCTCAACATATAGGGACTCTTTTTTTCCCATAAAAATTAAGAAAAAAAAAGGCCCAACATGAGGACACAGACTCGACATAGGGACATTTTGTGATAAAATTGAAAATAAGTTTCTGGCCAAATTACAAGAAACAGATGTTTCCAAGCCTGAAATGTATGTAAGAAACTTTTTTGGGCATTTCTCTCACCAATTTACCATCCATTTAGCTAATAAAAAAATTATCTCCAGCTTAGAGGGACTTCCTTCTCTCTTTTTTACTTGAATGTTTTTTTTTTACAGAGAATGCTGACATTTCTATATGTACTGTACAGAGGTACTGTTTCAGTATTCAATTCCCCAAATGTCCATATTGCGTGGAAATATATTGACTGAATCAGTTTCAATTGGGAGGCAATTTTTAGTTTCATAGAATTATTCTGGTGAGTATTTTGTCCATAAAACATCAATTAAAATTTATATAATATTAGTCTAAGGGGAAATGAGACTCAAGGGACACTCTTGATGCACCAATTACGTCCGCATCTCGGTGTCTCACTACGTATATGAAAAAAACCTTATTTTTTGCGGATTCCAAAATAATGTACATGATGTATCCCTCGTTTGAAAGAAAATGAAGCCAAACGTTCGTCCTATGAAAAATCATTTCCAGTGACATGACACGCCTGTTATTTTTGATGCGCGTTGCCTGGAAGAATTTCAATTTTCAAGGTTACATCACTGGGGATATCTACTGTACTGAATTGGAAAGCCGTATAGCTTCGCGGCGAAAATTCGAAAGCGAGAACCTTGCCGAAGTGGATTTCATCTGACACGTTTCCTTGTGAAAAGGACATTATTTCACCGCGACTGAGGTCACATTCACGCTGGTGTGATCGCGGCTTTCCATATTACGCAGAAATCCCCGAGGCAAATCATTCATTTGGACGATTCATAGTAACTACAGTACTGTATTTGAAAAGGTATATACAGTACTTGCGGTACTACATTAAATAAAGTGCTTAGTTGAGAAGAACGCCATGTACCTGGGGTGAATGCTTCACACAGGGATGGAACTTCCGCTTTTTTCTCGATTGTTTGAAGTACCGTAAGCCGGATAAGTATAAAGTAAGCCAGCGTATATGTACGAGAGGTTACACTTTTCCGTGCGGACTCGCTTCGGCGCGGACTTGATATGATCTGAACACCACTGGGATTTTCTGAAACACTTTTATCATGTTCCACTAGTTTAAAGAGGCTATATAGGCAGACACATTCTCTATGACTTCTATGTCATCACCGGCTCCATGATGAAATCCCATAGGAGAAAAAATCCCGCGGCCCAAAAATCCCGTAGGCCGGAAAATCTCGCATGGTCCAAAAATCCCAATGAGTAGTACAAAATTGTAACATTGTCTCTGAGTTACCCTTCCAACTGTCTGGAAGTAATACAAATCTGGTGGATTATGAAATTGTGGAAGTGTAAGGGGTTTTAATTCCTTCCAAGGGTTTGCTGGGAGGTTTATAGGGATCACCTTTCTCAATATAATCTCACCTTCACTTCCTTGTCTTTTTCAAGAGAAAGGCAAGGAAGCCTGGTATAAGGATGTTTCCTTCATTTGGAGCCTACATCCCTGCATTGTTTTGTATATAAACTGTGTACTTTTCCAATGATTTTCACAGTTTAACTTTCCCTTCTGAAGTAATAAGCTTGCACCAATTCGGGTGGAAATCTTGTAGAGTTGAAAATTTGTGGATTTTTTAATAGATTTTTTTGTTTTATTTCCTACATCATGAACTGTACTGTATATTGAATATCAAGATTGAAAATGAAATATCAATGTATAACTGCATTTAGACTTCTTTAATAATTTTGAATTGTTTAAATACCATTGCCTTCTGTACTTTTCAAAGTTCAAACAAGGTTTTTCTGATTATTCTCTTGGGGTGGTCAACTGATGGAATCCACGAGTTCATTGATGATTTCAGATTTTAGTTGTAATAGATTTTTCCGGAAATTTCGCATCACGCAATCGAAAGAAGCATCTATATATACAGTATAAAAATTCCTTAAATTAACCACAATTTTCAAGGGAAAACTTGGACGAAGTGCAAAATTTCTGTACTCACTCTTCTGTTTATTTCAGTGAAACATGATTCGGGGCTTCTTCACTGGGTACAGTACGACATATCATTTGTTGCTTGTTTGCGAAAACAAGTAAAAAGCACAAATTTAATTAAATACCTAAAATCACTGGATTTACATCGATTTCCGAACCGTGACTGTGAATGATTATGCCGTGTTATATAGATGCAGAATCTGATGATATCTTTTTCACATGGACTCGAGTAAGGTTTTAAAATCTTCAGTAAGGTTTTAAAATCTTCGCGGAAACATCACCATCATATGACGCCGATTTATTCTCACATGGATATTAATTCGCACATAGATTCAATCATTCGATCACGAGAATAAGAGGGAAATGTCAATAACAGGAAAAAGTGGTGATTCTTATAGGGTCATAAACCGATTTTCTGTGCGCTTGAGAAGATTTAAATTGATCATTCTAGTCTGCTTCGATCGCATTTGAGAATCAATCCTTTGAAATTTAGATGATATTGTCATGGACGACGAAAGGACTTCGGAAATACTGCGTCGACTTGTTTTTTCATTCATTTTTCCGTTGAATTTGTTTTTCACAATAAAAAATTGTAACTTCCATCATATGAAGAAATCGAAAGGTTATTTGATGCTATAAAACGCGATTTTACGGATCATAAATTTGCTACTTCATCCCAAGCTGAGTTTCCCTCTGGAATATTGCGCGGTTTATTTTGAATGTTCACTGATGATTTTGCTTTCGTGAAAATAGCTTTGGAAAATATGAAAGAATTAACACTCTTGTGGATTCCATCAGTTGACCACCAAAACAGTAATAAGTAGGAATAAATGCATCAGGCAGTTGTACTTGATTAAAAACTTTTTTTTCAGTTCCCTCCATAAAACGCTAGTATTTAGCTTCTTTCATGAAAAAACAAAATTGTGAGGAATTTTACGTCGAAAATACAGCGAAAAAAGTAATTCATAACACTTTGACATTATCCCGAGAAAACGAAATGCTGTACATTTCAAGTTCGTGACAAAAATGCAGTTTATCCCCAGCAATAATGTTCAAAAATTATAATGTATTTATTCCAATTGAACGGAAAATAAAATATCCGACCCACCATAGTTTAATTTGTTTAGAAAGATACAGATTGGTTAATTTTCACCGATTTTTTGGCTTTCTATTCCATCTCAACAATAATGGAGCTTGCGAAACAAAGCCGGCTGATTCCGCAAGAATCCAATTGAGAAATGTTATTTCTGGCGGGTTGCTGAATAAGAGGACTCAGGAATGCATCGAAATCGGATTTTTGAAAATATTCCAGCGGAATAATGAAAACCATAGTATGAAAAATCGCCAAAATGAAAAGCTTCTATAAGTTTCAATAATGCGACTATGTTGATCAACCCTTGTTGTCTGAAGCTGAAGTGATTAAGGTTATAAGCTCATATGGTTCCTCAATCACAACGAACAATGGTATACATAGAGGAATTCCGAGCATGGCAACCATTAAAGCTTTCAAATGCATCAGGAAAACATGAAAGTTGCAGTCACGTCAGAAGTGAAATCATTTTTCGAGTCATTTTTATACATATTTTGAACAAATTAGCAAGTGAAACGCCTCTCTCGTGATTCGAAGTCAAGCAGAAGGTTGGATGTCATTACGAGGGAACAGAGTTTCAATAATTCGAAATTATTTTTTTACTTGATGCATAACCCCAACATGTGGGAACACTTCAGTGTCGTTCAACATACTCTTTGCCGATTTGAATGCATTTTTCAAGCAATGAACTCAAAGATCAAAACAGTGCCAGAATTAAGCCATGTTAGTTGATGAGGCACCCTCTTGATGACTTCTGGCTGTTCTTGGCAGGGATTGATTTTGAGGACACAAGGGAAGCCTCATTTCCGCCATCGAAGAGCAGCTTAATCAACTAACGGAACTCGATTTTAGGCACTGTTTTAAACTTTCGATCGTTGGATTTATTGCATGAAAAAAAAGCGTTGAAATCGGCGGATAGTGTGTTGAACAGCACTTGAGTGTTGCCAAGTGATGGAGCTATGCGAGTGAAATATTTTTGAATTGTTGACATTCCATTATTGGATCTACAGTAATTCGAAGAGTCTCGAAACAACCAACCTTCGTACAGGTATTTCAAAACTGAATGGAATTCTGGGGAAGATTTGAACGATTTTTTTCATGGAAGATCTTTTTTTTTAATAACTGCGTAACTCGTCCTATTTTATAAAAAAATATCAAATTCTTGTCCAATTTGAGTCCATACTCCTCCACAAAGGTATCTTAATGCAGTCCAACTTGATAGACTAACTATTTTCCTGGATTAAAAAAGGACATCTTTTTGCTCACTGGGAATATATACGGCCCACTTACGAAGGTGTTCTCAATGAAGAAACACTGCAGATCTGCAGTAGAGATTCCGTGAACTTGTACAGTACCTTGGTAAAACACGCGTACTCTTTCGAAATAACACGTTCAACAATTGTTGTGTATGATTAGTATGAACTTGTTGAATGACGTGGTTCGCCCTGAGAATTTCGGTCCTTATACACACTGGGGGAAACCCGTAATCCGACCAACGTGAAAGTGACGTGGGAATTCACTGCGTAGCTAACCGCTTTTCAATACAGCCGAAATCACGCTTGAAATCGAAAACTTGAAATGCTGCCTCGCGACGTCACGGGTTTATTTTAAAAAGATGGGCGCGTCGTAAATATCACTTATCGAAATACTTTATTATTGACAAATGGCGGATGGCTCATGCCTGGGATTAATTTCTACAGCCAAAAATGGCTAGTTCAGCATTCGAATTTATGCTTTTTTATTGTCACACAGTATTTTGACGTTTGAAAGTGTATTTTTCATTGATTTCAAGCGAAATTTATTTATTCACGAAAAATGATCAGCATTGAGGTTGGCTTATTTCAGAAGTCCGATCAATATGTCCAAAGAATATCTTATGTATATACAGTACTGTATACAGTTGATGGATTGTTTTGTGCTGCGCAAAGAAAAAGTACTGTGCATTAATAGAAATAACAGGCGCTTTTTTACTTTTTGTACGAATTTGTGTGGTGTACAATAACACTAACATATCTCATTCCAACAAACTCCCAGGGAACTGAAAAAGAAACATTGTATTGAGACTCATGGTTTCAAAAACATTTTAGATCAAATTTTTTATGGGAATGGGTGATACATATGTAAATCCAGTATAAGTGCTTCTATATGCAACATATGCGTAATATTCTGTTCATCATTTTAAAGAAATTCATATCTCAAATGGAGCAAAGGAATTCCGAAGAAACGTGTCATGCAATTTTTTTATTTCTTGAACACCACATTTTCTCTACCAGTGAGAACATTTTCTTTTTTTGTGACGTTTAAACGCTGCACGTTTTATCATATTTTTCTATTTTTGTCGAATTATCAAATTCTCTTCATGCTACAGCACGTCCACTGTACAGAATCCAGGCCAAAAAATGTGTACACCGAGATTAATAAAGCTTAAAGTGAGTTTTGTAACAAGATTTCTATAGCATGGCTCCTATTGAGAAACTGCTGGGAACAAAAAAATATTCTAAGATTCATTGCAACAGGATGTTACTAAAATTGCAAATGGAAATCAAGGATAGAGTGGGGCCATGCATTCCTTGAAGGGAACCCAACCCGCCAATAAGTGTGACAGTACTTTTTCCCCTGATGATGGGGTTCACTTGCCCAAGGCAGAATCACGAAGCAGCACCAACGGATGGGAGTGACTCACTCGACCTTGAAATTCACGCAGTTCTCGCAATACTTAATGCAACGAACGTCCTTATCCTTCTCAGTTGCCTTGCTCACCAGCACTGAAGCTCTCGAGCTGGACATCTTGGATATACAGTATGGGTAACGTCGCAATTCTCAGGCGCGCTTTTCTGTGTCCTTCGGTCACTTTCCGCAATCCCGCGGCGCGGACAGAGTAGGAAAGTTGTGACTTTGAGGAGCGGAAGTTGGATACAAAATGGCTGATGATTGCAGTGTTGTACAGTGGTGTCGGTCACGAGGGATTGAGGGAAATTCTCTTTTTTTATCATTGCTGAGATGTTGGGTCGCCTTTGTTATCTGCGTGTCTTGTCCACGGAGTAAATAGGAAGTGACGTGCCGCATGCTGTGCGTTGCGCGGGACTTGAGGGGAGTTGTTGAGCAATATCCTCCGTTGTTGATGGGAGGGAAATTTTACTTTCCGGAGCGGTTATATAATGCGAAGTTCCTCTCCGCATGCTGGGGTGCTGCTGGTTGTGGGGAAATGGAGGGGCTGTTGGAACATATGGTTACCACAGACCCTGGGAGTTATGTTATGTAATGTATCTATAGAGTCTAGGTTCTATGATCTTTTAAACTACTGTACAGTACTTCATTTCCAGATTTTTAAAAATGTAGCTTGCTGTGGTATGCTCCGTATCGTAAATGCATATAAAATTATCTGGATATGTAAAGGAGCGGGAATAAGTTTATCTGCTTGATCGCATTTTTGTCCCTCGTCCTATAAGTATTGGTAATATCCCCGAAATTCGGTCTGGACTTACAGCATAAAGACGCCGCTGCCCTAGGCTTTGAAGAAATGTATATTACGGTGCCATGATTATAAGATGCATCAGAATGCCAGAAACTTATATGAATTGTGGACGAAGTTTGACAGAGGGAATCTAGGAAAAATAAAGAGAATGTTTCGGACAAACAGTGCCAACACCGGTTACTGTGGAAAATTAATTACATGATAACTATTTTTAGCACTCGGAATGCATTTCGAAGCCGGAACGCCGGAGGTGCTGCTGGTGACTATACTTTGGTCGCGAATGGTCCGATTATATACGTAGTAAGTTTTCCAGGAAATGGAAATGTTGACCGGATTTCCAGCAGCTAGATAATTCTTCGTACTGCGATACTTGAAGTTTGTTTTCCTCTCTATAGAAAGAATCGCGGCTACGCGGCATATGATAACTTATCCGCGAATCGCTTTTCAACAAGTACAGTACGGCGGTACGAACACGCATTTCCATGCTAGATCACACTCATCTTGAATAATCATACCGTATCGATTATATAGGCGCTATATTCGAATTAATTGCGGATTTGAATTTCTTCTGAAACTGACGCAAAGGGTCGAAAATTCGCGTGTCCATTTTTCTAGCCACTCTAGCGGATGACGTAAGACAAATTATATGCCCGCGAACGTAATTTTTGACCGATTATAATATAAAATATGGGGACCGAAAGATGAATGTAGACACATTCTACTCTAACCGCGTTTTTCCATCAATTTTCCGTACCAATCTGTCACATTACGGACATGGAAAGCAACTTTTCCCTCAAGTAAGGGGCTGAAGTACATACAGAAAATCTAACTCAGGCTGCGAGCATGTATCTCATCGAAAGTTATGAAAGCTTTTGTGTTTAATTTTGACAAAAAAAAATCATATTTCATGCTTGATGGATATTGATATTATTTACATTTCTCTGTTAAAGCCAATGTACAGCCAATCCTTGGGGGTGGACTCTCAATAGTGTCAGTACAACGAAATTTAGGGGGCAAGAAAAAATTACCTATATGAAAAAATTACCTATATGTCCATCACCTGTACATATTTTTGAAGAATCAAATTCAATTACTAAATATCGAGATAATTGGGTGATGCAATTTTCATCATGAATGGATGGTATTTTATGTATTGAACTGATAAGAAATGAAAGCAAATGTTAGCGACTACTGTATATATATGTATTCGGTTAATGCATTATGCGTGTAAGTTAGGTACTGATGCCTCATTATGAGCGAAGAATATGAGTTTCACGTGGAGTTCCTGGGTAAGCAGACCATTAAAATCGCACATGTAACGAAGTTTCCAGGGCAACTTGCACGCGAACTTGCGCTTGGCAACTTCGTAGAAAACATTTATGTCTGTCGGTTTCCAAGTTGATGCAATAATATCTCAGATCCGAAACAATGAACGCACACAGGGTCGTGAATTTCGAACTCCCAGCCCGTTTTATTCCTCCCCGCGGCTTCAACAATGCATAATCATCATCATCAATGAACAAATTCTGAACACAACGACGTTTCCTTTCGTCCATTGCCACCCTTCACAACTCTCAGGCCTTGCAAACAAACAAAGATACGTTTGTTCCGAAAACAACGTCCAAGCTCCCCTTTAATTTTTTTTTTCGTCGCGGCATTTGATGAAAAACATTCTCATCATGGCTCAGATTCCTCTGCTGATTTTACTGAACTTCCGTGACACAAGGCGCAGTATTTTCTCTTACAATGTCAGCGAATCAGCCTGAATATTGCGTTCGGCTCTTCATTTTGCTTTGTGCGTACAAATCACTCAGTGGCAGTGATAATTCTGAATGCCAGAAAAAATCATTGTTCTTCATCAAGAAGAAACGAAGGACATCACGATTTGACCTTTGGCTCGATCGTACAAGATTTCTGGTTAGACCAGGAGTCGCAAACTGCCAATCATTGCAGCAATTGCTCATACCACTGATTCCTTAAAAAAAATTAATTATCTTCAGACAAAGTCGGTGTCTTGTAGTGAAGACAGTTGTTTCTTTCTTTCATGACTAAACTGTTGGATCTTGACAAGATTGAAATGTAGATTAAATTTGTAGAAACAGGCCGAAATATAATATAAATGGGCTAGTTAATGATAGCGTTTAAGAAGATCGCTATGCATTCCCCGGGAGTTGCGTTCTTCAATCCATAACAGTTAAAATTTAAAAGCTTTATACATCAAATAGTTGGACGTATTAACTGAAACTGATCATTACTTTTTTAAAAGACAAAAGCACTTAAAATCTGTATTTTGATCTGTACAACAGAAGTTTCTTAATCTTGCAAAAGTTTTTAGACCTAAATGAAGTACAAGCAAAGAAACGCCTCCTCAGTGAATGGACTTGTACATCAAAGTAGATAATTCATTTCAGTGTAATCAAATCACATCTTTCTGCAAATGAAATCAACTATCGTGAAGGTCTCATTGGTTCCGGCCCACATTAAATAAACAAGCAAGGAATTTTCTCACAAATTATCAAATGACGAATTGTTAAAGTTAAATAACAGCAGAAATATTAAAAACTAATTATTGATAAAATCCAAAATTACAAACATTAAATCTGTAGTGCTCACTAAAATTGATCTTATAGCATTATTGATCTTCTCAACAGTCAATCATGTTTCAATGCGCAAATCACAAAAGCAGGACCAATATTCAATCAAACGAGAACACTTATTTCCTCGCAAAAAGGTTGCACTGGAAACATGACATATTGGAATTGTTATGGAGGCAGAAATTCTGAATTTTTGCATTTCTCGCAAGTTCACCTACTGGTGCAGTTTTAATGCAGCCAAATCTTGATCACAGAATCTTGAAGAGGAGAGATAATCTTCAGTTCAGAAACAAAACTCAATTCACTGGTATAAATCTGAAATTTAAAGCTATTTACTTCCCCTTGTGAATGACATTGTTTCTTTCCGTAATTGATGGACACATCAAAAATATTCATTCTTGATTGCGGTTAATAGTATGACTAGTAAAAATGTATGCGATAACCAACCTGACAAACTTGCTCATTCTATGAACAAAAATAAATTTTTTCCTTGAAGTAATTTAATTAGATGTCATTTTGGTCCAGTTCATTTCATGAATTTTTCATTTTATTTTTCTCTAGGTATTTGTACTTTCTGAATAATTTATTCCGTCCTCAAACGAATGCGCGAACTTCTCTTATCCGAAATACATGGACGTCTTTCAGGGTAAATTAAAACTGAAGTACCATTCGGCCATTTTCACATCCCTAGTCAATTTTTGCACTATCTCAAATTTGTAACTTCAGTTGCTCATGCATAATCAATAGCAAAGTGGTTTACATGAAAGAGTTTTCAACTTCTACTGAGAAACGGGCATTGAAAATAGTAACCGTACTTGTTCAAAGTTCAACATTCTGAAAACTCGTCCGACGAAGATTTCAACAACCCCAGATTTTTTCCCCAACGCAAAGAAAAAAAAACCTCCAACTTTCCCCCAAAAAGCAGTACATGAGTGGCAGGAGCAACTGTTCAAGTCCACAAATTTTGGCAGCACCTCATAATTGCATAATGAATTCAGTTATAATGGCCGAATCGGGAGGCAGTTGCGGGACGAGGGAGTCAATGAGGGTGGCGGCGGCCTGAGCCTGCTTCACGTGGCTGCGCGGCGACGTCCGCCGCCGCCGCGGCGGCTCTTCCGTCTCCGACCCGCGGTGGTGCCGCGCGGCTGGACGCGTCCGGCGGACGAGCGGGACGACCCCGCCGTCCTCGGCTTCTTCGCACAGCTCGCTCCGCCACCAGATTCGTCCGCTACGATATGACTCGTCTCTCTAACAAGGAAAAAACGAACGTCTCTTCATTTGGACAAAGCAAAAATGGCTGGCTCCAAACTCGGTAGAACTCATTAAATTAAAAAAATAAAAAGAAATGTGGCTCATGGCATTAGTTATACTGTATACTAGAGTTCCATAAAATCCCCATACCTGCGAAAGATTAAGAATATAAACAAGATAAAAAAATAATCAGCGAAAATCATAATAAATCTACAAAAGCCACCATGAAAAACGTCATTTCCATGCAGGCAATTTTTTTGTAAATATTTGCATGGTTTTACCGAGTTTTTCAGTTTACTATCAACTTTACCATTTAGACAACCGCAAAGAAATGATTTCGAATTTGTGATTCTTTGAAATTTGAATTACATTTCTTCCTTCTACTGTACCAAGGGACGCCGTGCTGAAAGTTGCCAGAAGACTCGCAAAGTTGAATAAACCGAGAAAATCTTCTCACATGCGGGCGTAAGAATACGGATATTTCTATTTCAAAATTAATTCCAGATGACATATTTTGAACCAACTGCCTCAATATTTTCGACAGGGATTCCGTGCGGCAAAATCGCAAAATGTTGAAAAAAAACTTGAATAAATACATGGTAGAAAATTTTGCTTGTGGTGGAAAAAAGAAAATCGCATACGTGATAAAAATGAATCGCTACTTTTCTGAGGTGTTGGCGAAAAATGTTGAAATTTTCGACAGAAAATGTTTCGAAGGAAAACACAGAAACTAATGGCAAGCAAAAATATCAAGAAATTCTGTTCACAAAACTTAGAAGCAAGCTGTCGTCCTGCATTGAAAAAAAAACCATATTTAAAAGTAAGCAATAAGCAGTGAAGATTATATTACCCAGTGGTCGAACCACGCGACGCCAGTGTCGTTCCCCGAAGAAGAAAGAAAGATATTTTTCCAGCATCACAGTGGTTGTGACGTATGAGGAAAGAAGACAAGGCACACGGCAAAAGAAAACAAATTTCACGCAAAGGACAAGGTGAGAAGCAGAAAAAAAATTCGGAGGTGGTTTGATTCGAATATCGTGATCAGTGCAGCATCTTTCTCATCACTAAGAGGTGCTATTTTCTAAATGTACACAGCACAACAGATTCCTTTTTTTGAAGCGAACACAATTTTTTTTTTTGCACAAAGCCAAGAACCCAGCGACTACCGTATTTACGCAAATACTATATATAAGAAACATTAATTTTTTTTGAAAACGGAAAATCAGGACGCGTCTCAGATTCGCAGTTCATGGAATATTCTATTACTCAAGATAGAATGAAATCATGAACTGAACAAAATGCAATAAAATTTGACGGTTTTAAATTCAAATGTGGATACTCAACTACTATGGTTTTTATCATCAGAGTGACGTGACAGTCATAAATTTACTAGAATGACTTCACTTCGCCAAAAATAAATCTTACCTACTTCATTCCGATTATTACAGCTTAAATTTAAAAATTCGAGTTATTTTCGGGCCGGATTTCAGATTACTGGCGTATCGAAGAAGCACGCAAAGTTATTTTGAATCGTGAATTTTAAAATGACAGGGCCGTCGATTTGCGTAAATACGGTACAAATTACAGTCGAACCTCTCGAAGTCGAATTTGAGTTGGGAAGGTTTGAATTTTTGGAAAGAAGCATTTTTGTTGTGAGAGAGGAAGAAGAATTTCAGGAAATTCTAATTGTTGATATTGTGGGCATTAAATTGCTTCTACATGAGTGGAAAAATGCTGAACTTGGAGGCAAGGATTCATTTGCCTAATTAATCTTGCAATTCCTTTCATAATGCCAATGAAATAATAGCCAAAAAAAGCAGAGAAAATTCGAGTCATAAAGATTGAACAAATAATAGAAAAAAGGGAATTTAGGAAGATTCGAATTATTAAGGTTCAGCTGTAATAGAATAATTGACTCCAGAAAAATGTTCAAAAGTTATTATCACCAAATTCACGCAAGAATGAATAATCAATGCACAACCAACAATATGAAGATTACAGATTAAAAGATTAATATATTCGTCCGGCTCATATCCCTTAGACTTTTGCGTCGATGTTGATTAATCCCTCCTGATTTTCATTCTGAAATACTCTCAGATTCTACTCATTTCGAGGGGTTTCGATGCCGCTGACTGACCGATCGAGCTAGGACATTTGAGGAAGCGTTGATCGAGTGCAAACTTACCCATCGGAGATGGGTCGAGCAGATGATGGGATACTAGGTGAAAACAAGGCATTGGAGTGAATGTATTCGATCACCGAGTCCGGAACAAGGTACTTGACGCTCTCCCCTCTGCGAATGCAACGGCGAATCTTCGTCGAACTAATATCGCCTGTTATCCATTCCGTCACTATATCGATGTTTCCCTGAAATCATGGTGGTTTCAATTCAGTTGAAAGCGACCCGAGTAGCAATAAAACATTTCTTAGCTTAGTCAACCATCAACTGAATAAATGATCAAATCGCGCGATAATCAACGGAAAGTACCTGTCCCAAAAAATGAAAGGAAAGAAAACGGGAGAGGAAATCACAGGTTATTGCATTTGAAAAAGGAAAATTGAACTTATCTAAATTAGTGCTTCAGGAAAGAGGGAGAATCTTCATGTTGAATAAATTGCCAAATTACTTGACCACATTTACTTAAATACCATACGCCAACAAGTAACACGTGCTATCGTCAGCATTTTTCAGTCTAACATTCCTCTGAGTAAGATGCGCACTCTATTCTTAGTAACTGAAAAATTGCAATATTAAAACAAAATTAATAAGAATTTAAAGTTTGACAATTTGAACCCAAGTTAAAAACAATGTTCATCTGTTTTTATTTTTATAATCTTTTCGCCAAAATGGGCCCAACATTTTGTAAAGTATTAAAGCCAATTAAAATGCCCATCTGAAACTCTAAAATTTTGAAAATGTTAAATCAACACATGATATGAACTGTATTTTTTCCCTTACATTTTGAAAAATAATACTCGAGTAAATCTTTCCTTTATTCTTATGAACAACACAACAAATAAGAGTCGAATATTCTTCATGCATATTGAATCTTTTTTTCAATATGCATGGAAAATATTTTCAAAACTAAAAGTTTCAAGTACCGAACAGTGAAATGTAACAGAAGAGCTTTAACGGATTTCGAATTTCATCAAAATATATTTCGAGATTTTGCTGAACAATTACTGATTTTTCACAGTTCAGAAATTATTCTGTTTTCCAGCACAAACCTCGTATTTGGTGAGCAAGTCTGATTTGTAGATAGCTTGAGCAGCATCTGACCCATGTCTAGTTATCACAACCAGGCCGAAACCTCCAACAATTTCCTTAACCTGCAATTCAAAACGACCACAAAAAATTTTTTTTCCCTGCAACGAAAACGAGGGCCAAATTGAACAAACTATTCATTTTTCCACGCAACTCACATCCTCGTCTGACCAAAGACCAGGAATATGAAACGACTCCAACAGGTCAGCACCGCAAAGAAGCTTCACCTTCACCGGCTCAAAACCGTTGCCATTGGCAGCCAATGCAGCAGTTTTCAGCAACCACGAAAACGGAGATTTTAACCGAGAGCCTTGTTTCTGATGCAGCTTACTCTCCTCTAACGTTTTGTCCACCTCAAACTAGGCCAAAATAAAGAAGATAAATTAGAAGAGCTTTTCGTAAAGGCTTTCCAATAAATCAACTCATGAACCTGATGATAGTTAAGCACTTGACGCGTTCGCTGCCAAGAATTCTGCGTACTTTCCCAAGAACTGAGGTGAAGCCACGTCGAGGTTTCCAGGGCACGTTTCAGCATTTGTCTTCTATGATCCGCGTTTACCAAATCCTTTTCAACACAGAAAACACGTCACTGTGAAATTTAAATACATTTCCCCGATCGTAAATCAGGAACTAACCTTTTTCCCATAATCATCATGGACCGGCGAAAGCATTCCCCCGATGACCGTGTGCTTTCCCACCCGGTGCAAATAATCTCTTGCCAATTCTACCAAAAAATGTTTAAATATATAATACACTGTGCGAAGTAATTTACCAAATATTCTTCATTAGTATTAAACTTTTCTCCCGGCGTTTAATAGAGATCAACTTCTTACAACGCTTATTTACAAGAGTTGAAACTGTCCAACAAGAGAATAAGAAAAGAAAGAAGGGATAAACCCAAGTAGAAGAATAAATAAAATTGAAAACCCTTTGATTGCAAGGTTTTTTCCATGAGTCAGAAATGCTCGAAATTGATGAATTCATGACAAAGGGTTTCACTCAGCTCATAAGGCATGGCTGTAAAGGAATTTTTTAAAATTCAGATTCCTCACAATTCTTTCTCCCCCTTTTTTCCTTTCTCTGACCCAGCTAATATTATTTCCATCGTTTCCAAAACCGAGCTTTTTTCAAAGGAAAATACGGTACTTGCAACAATGAAAAATAAAAACTCACCGAACATCCTCAAATGCATGATAGTAGGTGGGTTGAAAGATCCGCAAGCTAAAAGTACAACCTGCGGTGGTTTCATTTCCACAATCGCCATGTTCTTTTTTTTCCAAACGAACACAAAGGGCTTAAACGAAACCAAGGAATCGCAAACCCGAAATCAAAGCCCGTCACTTACACATGATCACAGTTTTTGTTCCCCTAGCCTGTGCCGTGGGTCAACTCCCTGAAATGCAAAAGAAAACGATACATCCAGCATCTCAAAATCACAACTAAATGAGTTAAAATTTCCCGGAAAGTATCCATCAACGCAAGCGCTATTCCTTCTTTTTGTCAGAGTTTCCTAATACAAATACATGCCAAAAACTGAACACTTTCTTCACAGGAGACGGTAAGAACTTTCAAGTCAATCTAATCAACTTGAGAAAAAAAACGCGGTTCTTCAACCCGTCCCGGTTAATCAAGTCAGATGAATATACCGAGATGATCACAAGCGAAGTACTTACAAAACAGCGTTACAAAACGTTTCAGTGCGAATATTTCACGTGACTAGCAGAAAGATAAAAAAAAGGTATCCCTGCCTTCCAGACCTGACTGAGTCCAACGGACGAAACAATAATAAGTTCAACGAGTCAACAAGGATTAAAAAAACAAAAGCTGGAAGAAAACAAATAATGAAGGAAAATTTCGAACGACAGGATTGGAAAATTGAAAACAAAAAAGGGCTCCGAATTCCTTTCAAGAAATTGAATTGAATTTCTTGAACGAAATAATCACAAGCTCTTTGCACGATTTGAATATATAATGCGGACATTCATTTTAAAATTCCAGTTATAATTTCGATTTTTCTCATTACCGTGCCCCTAACCTTTGCCTCAAGTGCAACTAGATAATTTTTCAAGCTTCATAAAGCAATGCGAAGAATTAACTGACTTTTAAGAAATGGACGTATTTGCGTTTTAAGTCTGCGTCAAATTTTTAAGTGAAACGTAGACACAAGCGCATCACATGGTGAAAAATACTTGAAAAACATGAGAAATAATTTTTAAAGGAAGAAAAATACGAAATTACCCTCACCATTCAAAATCTCAGCAAGAATCCCATGAACCATTTTACGTGTCAGCAGCGGCGCTCGTGCACACACTCGGGAAGAACCCAAAACGAGTCATTAAATTTGTGATGAAAACCGTAAAATAAAATTTTACTTGTGACTGACAGTGACACCTAACCACCCTCGCAAAATTGATCACCGCCATGGACAAAAACTGCTTTGGAAAGCTTAGCTAAATCGAGTTGAAAGAGAGAAAAAACGTTCTTCGGATTCTCGAGAGTATCAATAACAAATTAGTTCACCGATTTCGTGAGTCGAATGATAGCTCGAATTTGACTGAAAAAAGATTAGAAAAAAATAACCACTATATGCACGTTTCCCTTTTCTTGTTCCGGCAGGATCCAGTGGAACACGACGAGGTGGAAGCAGACGCAGGTTCTCGCAGCGGCGGCGGCGATAAGGCCGTCGTTCCTTCATGGGCGCCCACGTCACGCAGCCCACGTATCCGAAGAGCGGCGACATTGGATGAATTGTAAGTGGCGCACGTGGCGTCCGACACGATGCTGCGTGACGGCGAAGTTGCTTGGTGTGTTGGCCGCATCAGCGAGAGTCCGTCTTCCGAATCCACGTCCGGCAAGAGAACGTCGGAATGGGCGTCTCCGCCCGACGTAATGTCGATTCCTGGCGTCCCTGCTCCTACTGCTGATGCCGCCGCCACTGCCCCGATGCACTCTTGGCCAATCACAACTCTCTCTTGTTGATAAAATCCGGACCTGGGATAAGACGCCAAGCTAGAAAGTGAATATTTCTCCGGCTGTAGTCCATAAAATCTCAACAGTTCTTAAATCGTCGCCCTCACTCATTAAAATGCTCGCACGAATCTTCAACCGAATTATTCCGTTTTGGAACCACGGTCTCTACAGAACGGCTGTCCGAGCCCCTGTGGTAAATTTCCTTCAGGTGCTTGTACTGTATATGGTTTATCAAACAAATTGATTTTCTAAATACAAAAGTTTTGGTAAAATCTTGTTAAAACAAATATTTGGGGACTGAAGAACAGTATACTGAATACTTTGTCATGGGAAAATTTTCAGAACTGATCATGGGAAAATATGTTCATATCACAATTACATCTTTTTTTCTAGCATTCTCAATTGATTTTTTTTTTAACACTGTAACTTCAACCTTTCATTCCATCAGTTGCAACAATCTCTTCATTCTGAGTGGATGATATGTGGAACCACTTGGAAGCATGTTTGTCATTGATCACAGCTTTCATCTATGTAACAAGAACCAGCCAGTCACATCTGGATTGCAAATTTTGGACTGTGCGTGCCTTAGCTGGAAAACTTCTACCTGGGGAATATTTATTAAATATTCCTCGAAAAAGTTTTTCATGCTGGAATTGGGTAGTTTGTTATAAGGCTTTTTTTTTAAACATGTATTCTACTGGCTTTCTGCTGGTACTTGAGAAAACGTTTATTTTACTGTGGTATTTCTTGTAAGAAAATTTTTACTGCATAGAATTTTCTTCTAAGGGTTGGCCATGCATGAAGAAATTCTCATCAGGAATGATGTACAGTAAATTGGCGTATGATAAATCGCAACTAGGAATGTACCTGCATTAAAAAAAAAAATTAAAATTACAAAAAGATACTGTATTGCAATTTAAAAAAACCCCCAAGTTTCAAGGATTAATTCCAATTCTAAAGGAAAATGTTCAAAAATACAATTCCGAGAAGAATGAGAAACCTTTTAAAGGGACAACTGAAATCTAAAAGCAGATTTACGCACCGGTACCTTTAAAATGGCGGGAAAACGGCAAACAAATTTAAATTCCAGCCCTTGCACCAATTCAACATTGACGGGTAATGCACAAAAAGTTAATTTCCTGGTCTCGTTCCTTGACGCTGCTCATTGCCTAAATTTTCAAAAATCAACGTTTTCCTGTATCTACACTACAGTACTGTACTGTAGCGAAAATGCCTCGTAAAACACGAAGACCGACGAGGTCGAACGGAAACTTTTTCCCAGAATCGCGTTCACATCTAACGAGATTGCTTCATCTCCCGTGCGACGATTTGCGCCCCCCCCCCCCCAATTCCCACCCGAAACCCTTTCTTCTCTGTCTGCCGGTCACGAAAATAAATGGATACACCGGCAGAACGGCAGTAGCGAGGAAGAGATTAATGAAGAAACGAGCGCTCGATTCATCTTCCGTTCTCCTGCCTTAAATTAAAGGCAACCGGGACAAAGATCGAACCCCGCAATATCTCGTCTTTCACACGGGTACCTGCTGTTTCACTTTTAACGGGGCGAGTTCCATCGGAAGTGAAGTCCAAGTACCGTAATAATTGTTACCGGATTACAATATTTGATTTTGCAGAAAATATCGTTATTTCTGATTCCTTGATTACAAAGTAATTAAAATAAATATTTCTAAATATAAAAGAAACGCGAAACTGACTAATTCGAATGAAAGAAATCTCCAAAGACACAATTGCCCACACAATGTAAAACAAAAACAAAAAACAATGGGTGCATCCTGCAATCAATGGCAAAGTACATTTACATGACAAGATGAGTGCGGCATTGGTCCTGACAAACTCAATATTTTAAAAGTAAAATGAAGTATAGAATAGTAATGACCAAATCTTGATTTCAGTTCAAGAGGAATAAAGTACGTACGTTACTGTAATCTTTCTCTGTTTTTATTGAATTTTAAGCAGAATATTTGAGGAGATCATGGTTGTCAAACCAGAATTAACATACTCACTCAATCACCAAGCTCTTTCATCCATCTACATTTTTGAAGCTTTTTCTTCAAGAAAATCAATATCCACATAAGACTCACAAGCATGTTTTTTGCAACAGTACCCATTTATATTAGGAAATAAATCATCTTAATTTGAAAAATTATACAGGTGAACCTTGATAAGTCAAACCTACATAAGTCAAATTTTTCACATCCCTGTCTGAATTAGCTTAGAATCAATGCATTGAAAACCTTTCTAACTCAAAGTCTTTTCCTCTAAACCTCTGCAAGTTCAATTTTTCGAGGCCTTCTGGTTATTATTCCTTCAAATATGGAAGAGAAAATCATTAAAACAAATAATTTGATGGATCTTTAAAGGAAGTGAAAGACTAGTATAGGAAATGAACCCCTGCCTCCAAGTTCAGCAAGTTGTAAACTCATTAAGGAGCAAGTTTAGGCCCAGAATATCCTCATTTAAAATTTCCCATACTTTTTTTTCACTTCTCCTCACAACAGAAGTGTTCATTTCCTTAAATGGGAAACTTCCAAAAATCAAAACCTCCTCAAGTCAAATTTTTTTCCTGGTCCCTAAAAATTTTGACTTGCAGAGGTTCAACCATAAAAGATGAATTCAATTGTGTTGCAATTGTTTTATTTGTTTTTGTTTCATCTTCTAATTTTAATTTGACAGTAAGTGGATATTTTTACTTATAATAGTCTCTTGTAAAATAACACTTCCGTAGATGTGTTTTCAGAAAAATAGTATACTCCTGTACTACACGCACCCCACTTTCTACACTCGATTTTCGAGCAAAAAGGTTAATTTGGTGCTCAAGTAAATACAGTACAGCAGATTGAAAGCCATGAAAGTGCGTTTCATATTTGCACATCAAATGTTTCCCGCGAGTGAGTTTCAAAAGAGAAAGCGCGCATAATTTTCGACTAAATACTGCTGATCCCCAATTGAAATTCCGAAACACACCTGCCAGAAGCTCGTGACTTTGCCCCAAGCGAGTCCATTTCATGCTGCATTCCTCTAGAGTCTGCTCTGCGCTGCTGACGCCGTTGATGCTGTTGTTGCTGCTGCTGTTGGGACATCCATCGACTGCTGCCGCCACCGCCGCCACCACCTCCGCCGACACCACCACGTCCCGAAGACGAAAAATTACTGCCGCCCCACTTGGGTCGTCGACACGGAACGGAGACCTCAGAATCTGACCATTTGCACATCCGCTGTCCCACGTTCGGTCGTTGGTTGCTCACACTGGTAAAATGTGAACTCGTTTCGTCCCCGTCTCCACCAGCGTACACCTGTTAAGGAGAACAAGTTGTTTTTCCAAATTTGCTCATCAGATCAACTACGTGAAGCAAAAGGAAAAATTAAAAAATCCTAGTTTTCCAACAGCGGAAGTCCTTCATCCTCTGAGATAGATTCTGAGTTTTAAAAACACTGAAATACTGTATAATCAATTGCGACTAAGCACGAAGTATAAGTGTGGCCCCGAGATGCGGACATAATTGGACCTTGTCCCTATGTTATATCAGGCGTTCCCTAAGACTTTAATGGGAATATATTTAATTGGTTCTCCTGTCGATCAAAAATTAAGAAAAAACGCCCCCAAAATTGAATAAAAATAATATTTCTCAACTTCAAGATGCATAAAAGACAGTGCAGAAGAAACCCACATAATCTGATCTTTTTCACATGAGGAGGACCCCAACAGGCAAAGAATTACTCTGTTATGGATGATGAATTATAGAAAATTTATGATAAAATTTATTTTCAACTTTTGTTAGTACTGTATAGTATAAAAAATCACTATCTAAGAGTTATCAACATTTTTCAATTGAAAAAACAAGCGGATAAAGAGTTCGCACATCTGAAAAATTGTCTGGATGTCGGGGCAAGTTTAGTGTTAAGTGTCCCTAACGTCCGCATTTCGGGGCCCCAATGTGATTCTACGTCCTTCTCTTAGGTTTCTCTAAGTTAACTATACTGTACTTCCTTCTTCTCGCAACGGTTGAGAATCTTTGCTCTACAGTTACACTTACGAGAAATAAATCACGAACGATTTGAATAAAAAAAAAAATGCTCACAGCTTCGCTGCCATCGCCCCAAGACTCGGCGGGATTCCCCACCACAGCTGCTCGAAGCTGTTTCCTTCGCTGCTTTTCGAAGAACCGCTTGGCAACACTCATTTGTTGCGGATCGTAAAACACACGGTTTACCACTGGCACCGGTGGTTGAGCCACCACAACTGCCGGTGGCAGCACCACGGGTGCGAAACTCTCCCCTCCAGAGGCATGAGAGCGAGTTTGCGCCGCGGGCGCCGAGGTAACGCTTCCGGACACCATCACTGGCGTTGGCTCTGGCTCCGCCACTACTGGCGCAATCGGTACTACAGCGACAGCTGCTTTGGATCCGCTGAAGTCTATCTTCAGCAAAACAAACCTTGAAGAAAAAACCGAATAATAAAGTTTTTTTCTCCGTCGTGCGAAATTCCTGGCCTACACGTTTTATTCTTATTTTTTTCTTCTCCGGGAATTCAGGGAAATCCAGACGCGACGAAAAATTTATAAGGTCAATGATGTCTGGCTGGCTACTTAGAAATAATTGAACCACAAAAAGGACAGCTCTCGCATGCACCAAATCCACTTTCGTGAGAAAACACAGGAAAACATCATTTTACAAGAATTCGTTATTCAGAAGCCCGCGGACATAACGCCACTTTAATGCAAAGTTAGGCATGACTCAGTCGAGGGATGAATGAAGTATACAGTGATTGTTTTTTCATCGGATTCAATACTAGTAGTAGTTGGAATATTTCAAAAGATATCGCTGTTCGAAATCATAACCAATCATCTGGCCCACTCCTTTCACGAATAAGAAGAACTCAAATCATTTTCGCTCAAAACGTGACACTGGATTATCGATCACTATATGGTGTAACGAGAATCAAGTTTCCAATGGCCAAATACACTCATACTGCAATCGAATGAAAAGCTGAACTAATTTTTGGCATTGCACATGAAGATATCCAACATGAGTTCAATCCCTTCAGATGGACTCCTCAAAAAAAAAAAAGCTGCAGTCACAAAAAAATTGGCTGCCAGTGTATGCTTTCAAATAAAGAGCATTTTTATCATTTTTTTGAGCATTGTTTCCTTCGATTTTGGATACTTCCGTTGATATTCTAAAAAACATGCATGTGAATAAGTGCATTTCACAGTGATTTTCGAAGAAAAACAAATGAAACGCGAAGTTTCACAGGATTATTCCACGCATCGTCCCATCACCCATTTCAGGAACTTTTATTAGAGACGATGAACAGATTAGCCATTATATCTAATGTACTGTCAGTTTACATTACGCATTGTACAGATACTGTATATGATAACAAAGGACGTTCCACCGGAACGTGCGAAGTCCATTAACCAAGACACTCTTATCCCGTATTAACTTGATTAGCACGCGCCCTCAAGTAAGATATGCTCCAATTTTTTTTTATTCTTGAAAAACTCATCTCCATGCAAGACCCACACCCCCGCTTTTTTGTTACTAAAAATCAAGAATTTTGACTTTAATTTTGTGTGTGGATCCACTTTTTTCCATTTTTATTTTTGTCTTTCCTGTTTTGTAATGTCTGCAGGAGCAGTTAAAATGTGCTTGCAATATACAGCAACTTCTTCAATTAGATGAATATCTTCCTTTACTTCCTGTTGCATCCCCAACTGATATATTACTAAAATTGTTATTGCTCTTAAGTGTTGGAAGTATTATTTCCCTTGGACAATGGAAACTTGGCGCCACACCTTTCGGCTTAATTTCCCCCTCCCTTTAAATTTACAGCACAGTACTTTTCTGTGTAAAGGGTAATGGTTTTGAGGATTTTATTTTTCCCCGGAGTACCACGTGCACCCCAATTTTCTGCCTCGATTTCTCGCGAGAAAAGGTGCGCGCGGTACTCGAGTAAATACAGATAATTCCATACAGCACACGCATGAAAAAGAAAAACGAATAATGCTCACCTCAGGAACACAAACACTCCCAGCAAAGTGCAAGCCGCACAATACAGCGCCGCGTATGCCACATCCGCCGCAGAACGCACTTCCTCCTCGGCGCTTGCTACAGCCAAAGCAGCGAAGACCACCACGGCGGCAAACATCAGCAACGCTGCCACGTGTGAATTCAACATGGCTTGCTGCTCTCCCACTCCACTTCCTCCTCCGTCTACACCGCCGTCGTCAGCATCCGCCCCAGTAACAAGGCTGCACTGCAACGTGCACGCCACGCATAGGCACAAGACCAGCGCCGCCACGGCGGCAATGCCTAATGGCGCGAGCACGGCCCAGGCAGCGGGCCGCCACGGCAACGTGCACACGTAGAGTCCGCCGTATTCGCGGATGTTGACGGACGCAGACACGGCGCAAAGCAAAAATGGTACGCCGTATCCGAGGAGATACGTTTGAAGGACTTGTTTGCCAGCGTCGTCGTCGGAAACGGCAAAGTCCAATGTCGCCTTGTCGCCCAATGGCGGGTCCAAGGAGCCGACGTTTGCTGGCGGATCTTCTTCCGCCTCGCTTCCGGGAACTGAATGGTACGGGAGTTTGACTTTGGAGTGTAAGTAACTGCGGAGGGAAAATAACATAAGTAAGAGCCCATCATTGCCTGAAAAAAGTGCCTTTTCTATTTGTTGTGCAAGAACTTAATTTGCTCGAAGTCAACAAATATTATTAGTTAATCGGCACATCAACGCAGAACTCCAACTTATATTCTAAATTGCAAAATTAAGAACATCATCGACATTTTGCCACTAACCCTTTTTTTAGACCGCCGAAGCATTAACATAAAATACATTTCAAAAAAGGTTCTGAAGGAAGAACGAGTCTAATTTCCCAGGAAGAATTAAAATAAGCCTCTACAGTTGAACTTTGAAATCAAAGCAAAATCCAGATTTGTTTTTCAATAACTGCAAAGCTGTATTTCCGCATTTCAGAAATCGATAAACAAACAATTTACACTTATTTACAGCACATTCTTGCTTTTAGGGTTCAATTCATACAAAAACGAAAACTTCCTAGTGAATTTTTCAACAAGAAAATACAATATTTGAATTGAAGCATTATACTAACAGTCAACTGAAACGATTTCGAAAAAGTGATAATATACTGTACAGTACATTATAATGTATTTAAGTCTGAAACATTCCTAGAAGTGATAATATTTTCAGTCGAATGTGTCCAAACTGTGTTTCCGAGGTTTCACACAATCCGAAATCCGGTACTCTTCAAGAATTTTGAATTTTGGATAATACGTTTGTAATCCTTCTGATTCTTTTACTGAAAAATAAATACTGTATACCGCACTTCGGCAAAAATACTCACCTCAATGAATTTATCATCCACATCACAGAAGCTTGCACGAGAAAATGCAGAAGTAATCCAATTCCCTGGCAGGCTTTGGCATTTCCAGTTTGAAATATCCCACCGCTGCGCAAAAATTATAAATTGCTTAAGAATGTTCAACAAAATCTATTTTTGGTAGGAGAGAAAACACTAACCAGTACAAAGAGACCAGCAAGGCGATGGAAACCCACGAATTCGCCAGTGTGTGTCGCATCAGTGAAGGCCAAGAAATTCTCCGTTGTTCAAGCCAAAGAACACCGATTCCAACCAGCAGACAACCAACACAGATTACCGAGCCGACGAAGATCAAGGGATGCGGAAGCTTTTGGAAACCCGCGGCACTGTTTGGAATATCCCACCGAAAAAAAAAGTTAAGAAATACCTTTTTGTTTCTGTATAATTGGGACCAAACTGAATCGAATTTTAAAAATTCTGAATCATGGAAGATCGAGTACTGAAATTTAGAAAAATAATTCGGAGCCGATTTCAAAGAATTCATCAACATTTTCGAAGCATGAAGCAGTCATAACGAAATTTGTACGATGGTCAATTCGTTTTTCCCAATGATACGGTAGTTCGCAGTACCCGAAGGTCGTGTTTTTATTTCCTGTTACATAGATGTCACCGAAATCATCTCACTTCACCATGCTAGATTCGGTTGGATTCGAGAATGAAGCGACACCTGCAGGGAATTTTTAAAATTTCGCATCGTTTCAAAATGTTGTTAGTTGTGAGGGTCGTTATTTACCGTAATCACAGATAAGTGTTCAGTTTACTGGATTTTGTTTTCCGAGACTGAAGCGGAATACTGTACCACTGATTCAATATTTTCTAATGAACGCGAATGTTTTTGAGGTACAGTATAAAATCGGATGCGCGACTTGAAACTTCTGATGACCTTCATACCCAAAAAAACGAAAATACGTAATAAAACAGATGTAAGGATTCAAGATCTCACCCAGGTTTTAGTCGGAGAAAAAATTTCCGCTCCACGGACACACCGTAATAACCACAACGGTGACACGACAGAAGCACGACGGCGTCATTGATCGAAACAACACTGCAGTGTCGTCCACCAACGTCCCAACGCGCAGTGGATTCGTTCCACATGGCGCCTGCGAGTATCGGAGGTGGTAGTCGTCCATCAACATCCTGGTCGTGCAGTGCTACCACATCCCGAGCTACGGATGCCGGGATGTCGAACGGAAGTCGAATGCTCACATCCACCGATATCTTCGGGTCCGGTTCCAAAGATGGAAACGGGGCTACCGAGGAATTATGAGTCATTAATATCGTAAATGACTTCTGTACACACAAGCTATACTTCAATGTATTATAGTTTAACAAATATCATACTGTACCCACTTTTTCTCGATTTATCGCAGTGTGCCTTGAATACCAATGGAAAGGATAAAAATATATATTGTACTGTATATCAAAGGAACAAGACTACGTAAACTCACTGAACATCTTTTACCGATGAAAAAAAAATTACACGCATAATATAAACAACGTAAAAAGTGGCCAGCCAGCAATTTCTAATCTCTAATGATTTTTTCTTCACATGATAGCCTCAATATTACTTCTAAGGTACAGTTTACAAGGAAAACAACTCGCAAGCATTTCACTGCAGTTTACCAGTCATGAACAGCATGTTTCAGATCGGCCTGTTAACTTTTTTCAGTTCAATGGGGTGGAAAATCAAGCTAGCCTTAAAGTTGGAATCTTCTATCTGCTTGAACACCGGAATCATCTACGAAGTATACAAAAATGTATTTCTCAATTACCATAACAGAAGCCGTTTCTTTTGACGCAGTTTTCCCGTACGATTCAATTTTCAACATTCTCCTGTGTTCTCCTAAGTATGAACTAGAACGTCATCTTTTGGAGTTTTATATTGAGAACTTTTAATATTTTAGAACTGAATGACGGCGCCATTTATAAATAAAAGCACCTACATGTTTTGCATCCGAATACGGGGCCGGCAATCACCCGATTCTCATTATCGTCAAGGAACAACGAATATGATTCGAAGGCGAAAAAATCAAATCTCTGTTGATTCCTGGAATCCCCACGGCGACCAGTGAATCTCTTCTCTCGACCCTGGTGTCTATTGGTCCATTCGTTCCATGTTAAACCAATCAGTTGTTTGCCCAAGGCACCAGGGGACAAAATATCACCAGGAATCGCTATGGAAGCCAACACGTCTTCATCATCCATCTGCAAAATGAACACAAACGGTCATTGGAAAATAGAGTACAAGTATTTTTGACTCAAATACGAATTTTATCAAAATCTACGGAGAATAATGCTAGCTCACCGTTACATCTGGCCAAGGCATAGATGAACTTTCGCCCTCAAGCATTTGCAAATGTTTGCAAGTTATTTCTCGATGGTTTATGTCCTTCTTCACCCATTTGCAATGAAGTCCTGCAAAGCTGGCAGCTTCCACCGGTTGCGCTGATATGGATATTCTCGTCTGAAAAATTCCCCGCTTTTACTCGTATGAACAAATTTCTTCAATTAAAACTACAAATAAATCATCTGATGAAACAAATCAAACAATTTTTAACGCACAGGAAAAACTATCATCCTAATTACCATGTACAAGGAAACATTGTTTTAAGGTAGACAGATTCCACTAGCTCTCATGATTTCATTCATATTTTAATTCAAGTCATCCCAAGCAAGGGTTTTTCGGGATCCATGGGGTTTAATCATTCTCCATTTTTCATAGCGGTGAAAAAGCCAAAAATTCTTGCCAATCTACAAACGTACCCCGCCATGATAAAAATCTCGGATATGCTGAGGTATTTTCTCCAAGCAACTGACAATCCTCGTCAAGGTTCGTCCATACAGAGGAGAAAATTGGGCTTCTCTCAATAATGCTTCATTTTGAAGTCCTTGGATCACAGAGGCGATTTCGACTAGTTCACCGGCCAACTAAAAATAATTCAAGAAAATCGAGCACATTTCAGAAAAAATGTACCAACGGTTTTCGCTTTCGAAACTTTCAAACTCACCTCTCGCGTATGCTTGGCTATTTCGGGGGCGTATTCCACGTAGTTATCCAAAGTTCTAGCAATGAACACAATGTCAATCGGATCTCTGATTACCGTCGTGTTAGCAGTGTAGTTCTTCAACAAGTTTGCACTTTTCAACGCTGAATCCTCGTTGGGCATATTTCTAATGCTCGTCTACAAAAAGAACAACACACATCCATTTGAACGTAAAATATCCCAGAGTAAATCAATCAATGTTTAAATACTGTTAAGTAATACTTAGATTACTTAATGCAATGTAGTGAGGATTCCATAATTCGAGAATTCTGGTGACTTAAAGAAATAAAAAAATTGTAGATTGATTCTAGACCATTAAGTGCCTCACGTGAATGAACGGAATCTGAAAATGAATAACTCATTTTTTCCAGATTTAAAAAAATGTCCTTCAAAGATTCTTGAAAAACAGATAATTAATTTGAAATATCTGATGAAAGGATCAGAAGTAACGGAATGCTCAACAGTTTAACACAATCAAGAATATAATTTTTAAATAATTCTAGAGTTCTTTTCGCAAAATTTTCATCACGATCATAATTATATATGGCGTGAAAAGCGCCATAATACAAAAATATCGAAAGGATTTAAGACAAATTTTCGATAGATTGTACCTCGGAGAATTGCTGCAGGATTTTCGTTGACACAGAAACAAAGGGACATGCAGATTCATCCAGCTCATCCCAAACACCACGCGATCGACAGTGATGTGCTACAACAGGGTTCCTGTCAGATGCACTTTTCGGCGAAGTCCCTGAAGGAGCTTTCGCAGAGAACTCATCCCCAGAACCACAGGAAAGAAGAACTTTAGTTCCCTCCAAGCTTTTCGGCCACGTGAACCTTCCCCGATTCCCTTCAGTAACTGGAAGAAAAGCAGAATAAAATAAATTACACCGTAAAAAAATTCAGCTTTTTCCAAGAAAAAATAAAATTCCTCATCTGAAATGTTTCTTTTTACGGCACTAAATTTCGCGTCCTTACTCGTATCAGGACAATAAGCTGTATGCTCGGAAATGACACGCAGCTGAAGCTCCTTTGTTTCGATTTCCAAAGAGGAATTGGCAACACAGGTCCAGTCCCCATCATGGACAGCTGACAACACTGATATCTCGATGTCACTGCGGAAAAAAAAACGTTCATTCACAAAGAAGAAGAGGAAAAGTTGACGAACACTTACACTCTTCGCAATTCGGGTCGTAATAAAGTGACACCAGGAAAAGAAGAATTCACCGGCGCGCCTCCTTTTACCCAAAAAACATTGAGCGAATCCGGTTTCTGAGCCACAGCTGAGCAGGTGAGAGTAACTGAATCTCCCGCAAACATCAGCTGTTTTCCGACTGGGTGCATCAGAAGATCAGCTACTCTTTTACTTCTGGCTGTGAATTGAAAATAGATAAATGTTAATCTACAAAGCTTATTATAATCTCCACGCGTCCAAATTTGAAATTCGAAAAATCTGGAGAAAAAATTACACCTGGAAGCACGGATTAAAAGTCTTCGACGGAAAATATGCGACGCACAAGAAATCCTCGATTGAAAAAGTCAGCATTTTTGGCGGGTTTTAAATTTTTCGTTGAAACTTGAGGGAAACATGGCACAGGGAATATTTAGTTTACATTTTTCAATGAGTTTACATAAAAAATCTAAATGAAATCCAGAAGCACGTGGAATTTGGTGTAACTCTGCATATAACGTGACAGTCAGGGACATCTACCCAGACCTAAAATAATGAGAATATAACTGACGACGGATAAAATGTCTTCTTTGGGACATACATTTCTCATTTCAGAGCGACATTTTGTACATCTATTGCATCTCGCACTTCTATTGTTGCGGAAACTTACGACATCCGTCGAATTCGACCCGAGAATTCAAAGTTCGACCATCTGTGCAAGTTGCAGTAACAGTTTTGCTGTTCTGACTCCATTCCCACAACCATTTGATGTCACATCCACAAACAAGTGGATTTTTCGACAAGTCAACATTCTGCAGCCGATCCAGGGAATGGAACGTATTCAACCCAAGTGAAAGGAGATCATTGCCAGAAAGATCCAAGCTTCGCAATTCTGCCAGGCCCAAAAATGCGGCGGATGCTACTTCCTTCACTCCGCTGTTCTTCACGGACAACCTGAGGGATTGGAAAGAGATACAACACTGTGAAATGCAAAATTAATTGAAGAAAGGAAAATCCGTGATGCACTCAAAATTTGCCTCGCTCTCTTGGAACTTATACCGTGTGAGCGTGTTAAACACAAAATTAATTTGCGTGAGTCTTGGAAGTCTCGTCATCGATTTGAACTCGGCAATGTCCTCCCAACATTTCTTACCACTAAAAAATGTTCGATAAAGGATAACTCACCCTTTCAGACCACGAAAACTCTGAAACACGCCAGTTGGAATGCGAACGAAGGAGAATCCGGTGATGTTCAGTTCTCGAACATCCACAGGAACCAGGGACACGATTTTCTCGATCGCCCAAGCCTCTCTAAAAATTGAGAAGAACAAAATGTCAAGTATGAATTATCAATGATAATTGACATGTCCATGAAAAATACACGTGTTCAATAAATTCCAGCGCGTACCCCATCAATTACCTAGTTCATAACCGACTGATTTAAAAAGGCAATAATTAAACATAAAACTAAGAAAAATCTGAAATCCAAGGTAGAAAGGAATATCATCACAAAGAAAACGCAGTTCAAACAGAGACGACGAACGGTACTGAATTGACTTATCAAGAAATGTCACAGACGAAGAAAAATTTCGGAAGTAATAAGTTCCGGAAGATACACGATGTGCTCATGGACAAAACAAACACATTCAAAATAGTTTCAGCGTTTACAGTATCATAAAGCTTCCAGTCTCTTTAAATAACATCCATCCAAAAATATACGAAACCAAATTTCACGAGCAAATTCCAACGATCAAAATTCCCTCAAAATCGATACCTCGGAAATAAATAAGCTTAACAAAGATAAAAATTCATCGCTCGGCCAAACTATAATTTTTCATGTATTTTTAGTTTTCAACATTAAATTAAAATAAAATTTACTTTCAAAATAAAATCGAAATCACAACGTTTAACGTTGTAGCGAAATAGTAGCACACCTGTTCGTAAGAGCCGAGCCATCACAAGAGACACGGCCAGATTGATGTCCAGGTACCGGGCAATCGCACGGAGGCGGACATCCACTTACTACCTCCGCCGCCACCACCAAAACTAAAGCGGCTGCGGCCACCAACGCGAAACTTTCCGCACCCATCAAAACACATCGTTATTCTTCGTCCATCCCTGTTGGCTTCAGAATAAATTTCTTTTTGATTCAATCCAAGTTTTATATTCTTGGCTTGAACAAATGACTTCCATTCATAATATGATCGTTTGTATGAATCACAACATTTTAAAAAACCAAGAGGTTAAAAACATTTCGTAGAGCAAATGAAATATCACGATGTTTCGGGGCCATTTTTCAAGTGGCCTCGGGAGTCTCGAAAGCGCACATTCCCCGATAACGCTCGAGCAGTTCCTTTTTTATCAACAGCTGCTTTTTGAGGGCGTCCAATCTATTCAGTTGATCCGCTTTGCTCAGGTCTATTCCCGGAAGTTTTGATATCTACAAAAAATGAAATCCAGATTAAATATTGTATATTCATCTTCAATTTTCTCCGAACAAATTGGGCAAATTAGCATGTTTCCCCAACAAATGTACCTGTTCTCGACACGTTTGAATTTTATCGTTCAGCTCGATGACTTTCCTTTCCGCATCTTGTGAATCCTTCAGCTTTTGAGTCGGGTCCGGCATTTGCTCTTTCTCAAAACTTGGAATAGCATGGAACAATTAGTATCGTAAAATAGTCTCAATTAAAATACGAAAACCTCTTACCTTTTCAGAAGTTCGTAGACGAGCGACGTAAAATCAACATTTACATTAGCAGCCTCTGATACGTTCTGAGAATGGGCAGTCATTTTATTTTAATCTCACAAGGATGCGACGAATTATACAACACAAGCGTCCTGCGAAAATTTATAGAAACGAGCAATCTGATTAGTTTTAATCAAAAGCATCCCACTCGAGTTCATCAAGGGCACTGAACGTAAATTTCGGGACTGGGGGATTCATCATGTAGAACAGGTTTCTTCTCACGTTCCATCTCACTAATTACAACATCACAGAAAAATGATATTAAAAATAAACATCTAAGCGCTCTTCGGTGTCAAGAAATTTCATAAAACTGCCCTTTGCAGCGAACTTTGGACAAAATATTTGGCGAGACTGTTTTTCCCCTCCTACACATATCTGTTAGTAAACCCTCGTTCAAACCGCAATAACTCAAATTTTGCACTGAAAACCTGACTTGAGCGTCCATATCTTCCTCTTTCAAAATTGTTTCATTCTCCGGTCTGGAATTGAAAGAGGCAGTACCAGGAAGACAGGCCATATTCAGCTCAAAGTCTGCGCCAGAATCCTCGAATAGGTCCAGAATCGAGGGAACAACATTAGGCATTATTGGACCAACTATGTCCAACTGGGTTTTCTTCCGCCCTTTTTCCTCAATTTCGTTTCGACGGACCTGGAAAGAAAAGGTAACTAACTAGATTCTCATTTGGGCTGGTAAGCCAGTCATCAATTTTCCTGGCAAACTGCACCCCTCAAGATTCCCTCCACACACACACACACACAAAAACACGCAAATTTACCCTCAGAACTAATGAAGACCATGAATCACTTGTAAGCTGAATGATAAGAACAGCAAATTCAGGAGCTATCGTAATTACTTGAAGTGCGAGTAAGTCCCCTCAATTACAAAAATACGAACACCCAAATTTAAATTAAGTGTAAATTGAACCTGACATCAACGAATTTTCAATTGTTTAATTACAATTTTTTGGGTTATACTGTACTTGGTCCAAAATTTCTTATTAGGATCAAGTATACTGCATACCTAAGTTCCCAAAACTTTTTGAAATATTTATGATTGCCAATGACGCGCACCCCCCTTTTTTCTTCTCAAAATTTGAGAAATAAAGATGTGCGAAGTACTCAAATTAATAAAGAATTTGAGAATTCATGAAAGAAACAAACAAACAGAGACTGATCACTAATGTACAGGAAACAAATACCGTGCAGTATTTACTCGAGTACCACGCGCCTTCCATTAAGACGCGCACCTGGTTTTCTGGCCATAAAATTCGGCTAAAATCCTATCCCCAAGTATGAAGTGCACTCCATGTTTAGTGACTAAAAAGGGCGAAGTTTTGAAGATGAAATGCGTCAAAATCAAAATTTTGGCTTGAATTGAAGCATTATACGGTACTGCATACTTATTGTTTCCATTGAAAATAATTATTTGCTGAGATTTGTTTGAAATTTTCTAAAAAAGAAAGGCATTAGTTATCAAACCTTTTGGGCCCACTGACCAGCAAATTCCGTAAAATTGTTTGCAGGTAAACAAAGTTTCATAAAATTTTGGCAGATCAGGGAATTTTTCTTACATAAGGTACCTGCCATAGAGTCCTTCAATCTAAACTTTGATTGAAACAAAAAAATTGCGTCAAGAGCCAATGAAGCAGCTATGTGTTCAAAAATTTGAGAACTGAGCTTCAAGAAAGATTTCTCAAAATGAATGCTTCAAATAATTCATTTCAGCAGGTTGAAGTGCATTCAGAAGGAAAACCAATTTTTATTAGTCATCAGATAATTTCAACTGCCATGGACCAATCGAAATATCTGATGCGGGTAACAGTGTTCATTACTACCTTCGAAAACATTTCTAGTGCTTAAGAAAATTACCGCGCAAAGGTAAAAAAAAACTTCCGTAGACCACTGACCTCAACTTTTAAAAATTTAGAAAAATTATATACCGGCTCATGACAAATACCTTCCTTTTTTCACTTGACTTTGAAAAACAAAGGCGAGCGTAGCACTCGAGTAAATACGGAATAAAACTCCTGCAACGGCAAAAAAAAAAGGCTCACCTTCAATCGACCCAACGATGCTCCGAGGAACGCGGTGGGGGAGAAAATCGATGGCGGGACCCCGGCGTGAGGTCCAGTCGTGTTCCAGCCCCAGAGACTCTCGACAAAATACCCGTAGAATACTTGCACGTCTCCGGCTTCGATCAATACCAGAGACTCGGGCTTCCCGTCGATCACCACACTGCTGTCAATAACGGCGTGTTTCCCCGTTGCACCGGGCCCTTGGGATGACGTTTGTGAAGACCTGTCCGGACCGAGGCCAATCCTTGACAAGAGCATAGAATCCATTTCTTCGTCCGAATCTGTCCCATCGTCCTCTTTTCGCAGTTCCTCGCTGTCTGCTTCTTGCGAAGATCGGCGCTTCAGCGGCATTGAAAATATTATTTCTGTAGCAGACAGGAAGAAACAATACTGTACTACTGAAATTGCCCAGAGATGAGACAAAATTATTCGCTCTCAGGTTCGAAGATACACCAGGGCCTTTTTTCTGGGTTGGTTTTAGACTTAATGCGAAACGACAACTACAACTTCAAATGCTTGCAAAATCCACTTGTTTAGGGCGTGGCATACATGCAAGAATATTCCTACTTGATTCATTCGTCAATATCGACTTTACAATTCATCGAGTATTAAATTTTCAAAATTATAATTCGTCTGAAGTTCTGACTTCCATTGAAAATGCATTTTTTCATTACCAACCCTTCAGGACGACAGATTTCCTTCTCTTCTTAAATAAAAGATTTGATAAAAACTGCGTTTGCTTCTTGGTTTAAAAAAAATATGACAACGCGTTCGAGTGAAAACTCTCCCTTCTTCAGCAGGTTTCAAAAATTGGAAAATGCTAATGGTATTCACGCAAGATCCGAAGTTGGGATATTTTTCTATTTCAGGGAAACATGACTCCTAAATTTGAAGTATTTGGCGATGGCGAGTGAATAAACAAGAGAAAAATTAGGAAAAACCTTTTGTTATAAAATCCGAGAGTTCCAGTGATACAGAGATGAATGATTACAGTACACAGTATTTAGAAATTTTAAAAAAGTTCCTGAAGTCATTCACAAATAAAAGATAGCTCTTCAGCTGGCGGAAAAAAAAAACTTGAATGCAGAATTAAGAAAAATAAAATTTACTCTCATCGAATTCTTGTAAGCAATGGACAACAAACCTTCACGTTTTAGGGCATCACGCATTCCCTTCGTTGTGGGACAAACGAAAGCTTGAATCTCTTCGCGCCCATCCAAACCAGCTGCACGGAAAAGGCAAGTGAACGTAGATGCACAGATATAAAAGTACGGACACTGCTTCAACTTCAACATGAAGTAAATGCTCCTCAAGCTTTCCTCCCAGTCTCTTCTTAGACCCTGTTGTACAATGGCATCACTTGCTACCAGCGTAGACACCGACCCCTGCAATTTTTAATAAAAAAAAAGTGTAATGGACAAAAAAAGAGCAGTTCATCAATATCGATGCTTGTTTGAAGAAATGCCAAGCTAGCAATAATGTCAAGATTAGCTGAGCGTCACATTCACACAGTGACATCCAAGGGTAAGTTCAGAAGTACAAAGGAATTTTGTTACAAGCTTACAACAAAGCCTACGGGACCTGAAGAAGTTTCGTTATGAACTAAAATTATTTAAAACGAAATTAAAATAACACGGTTATTGTTTCACAGGGACCAAAATAACAAATTATTCGTAACGATTAATTCGTTATAACAAGATTATACAAGCATCATCATGGAATTTTAAAGCCCAGAAATATTGGTGAATTGCTTCTACTTTGAACAGGTAGAATTTCTCTAGCCTCAACAACTATCTCGTCTACAACGATGTTCTCTGTATAAATTGTTTTCGTCCCACAGGAGCCTCCACCCATATTATTGACTATATAAAGGTTCTCAATGACGATTTCTTTCTGGTCCCCTTAATTTAGTTGTAGAGTGAATCCACGTGCATCCTTATAATGAGATGACAGCGACGTTATTCATGTGCCGCATCGATCTCGAGCCGGACTGAGATTGGATCAACCTTAAAAAAAAAACTTTTTTTTAATTCTGGAAATATCTATTCCAATTGAAGAAAAAATGCCGCACACGAAATGGGGCACAAAAGGTGCAAAAAAGCAACAAACTCGTATGTTTCCAATATTAAATCTACTGTATTCAACATTTCTCGACATGACTACCAGCAAGCTTCGCCTCTTTTTTTTCATATGTACTGCATAAGCACCGAACAAAGCAGCCTTTGAAACCTTTTTTTCTCCTCGTTCCTCAAGTGGACAATAATAGTGTACAGTACTTCGAGAATAAATTTGATAGGGGCCAAGTTCACGATAAAAGCAAACTTAAACGTTTTTTGAGCACAGTTCAACAAAGAAAATAGGAATGATCAACGACGACGGTTGACATACGTGATCTTCACTTATGGGTACCAAGTTTTTTAAACGATTATAATTTCAACCTTTGAAAGTCACGATTTGTTGTTCGGAAAAAAATTATTCTTTTCGGGTGGTGATTATACAGTATTCAGAAGCGCTGAATGACATTTGTTTCATTGTTTGCATTGTCAAACTTATTCAGAGCTAGAAATTTCACGAAATTATTCGCGAACTTTTGACCTCCCCAGACATACAAAAGGGACGACGAGAGTGGGGATGGTGCTAAAAAATATCACAGCAATAAAAAAGCTAAAATGAATGCGATTGATTTCACGTCATTGAACGCTCACCGACTTAGCAACGGCATCGCCTAGAAATCTTTCGCCTAAAACCGTTCCGTTCCTCGGAAACAATGACATCCATGGAATGTTGGGATGCTGCCAATAACACGTTGCTTCTCGCAATCGGGCATCAACAGACGAATCGAGCAGGAATTCGCTCGATTTGATATCCATTCGCCGAACAAATGCAGTGACTCCGGAGGCTTCCTCTGGTGCAGAAAACGTGCGACGCGGATTCAAGGGAGGAGGAAGTTCGGCTTTTACAGTGAAAATACAGCGGATTCTGGATTTCATGCTCCAGTCTACTGGGATGTCTTCACGTAAAAGAGTGCAACCACTTTCAGCTTCTGGTAAATCCACTTGCTTCTTTGCCACTGCTACTTGATCTGTTCTCTGCTTCTTTTTTACAGGCTGCGGACAAATATTTTTTTTCATTCCTTCACAGTTCCGGCCAATAAAGCGCTTCCACTCAAATACAAAAGTAGTCTCCGATTTTTTTTTTAAATCGTTGAACTGAAAAACTTTCTGACGATGAATTATTTTTGGCAGAGCCACTTTCGTCCTTGAAATTCACGTAAATCACTTTAGAGTACAGTACTGTAATTTGTTCCTAACTTCAGAAAATGAGCGAGGGTTTCGAAAAGAGCTGAAAAAATTTTCATTGCACTCGTCCGACATGGTAATGCCTCATATAATAAAGTAAATAAACTATCTGTTGGCTGCTGCTTGAAATTTACTGGATGGATGAGTGAGAATTCCATATTCTAAAAGAATCCTTAAAACACGACCGGGTTTTTTGTAATATCCGACTGGTATCGCTTGAATCTTACTGAAAATAAACCAGAATTACCCCTGAACTAAGCCACTTTTACTCAGTATACTGTACGGCAATTTGACTTGATACGGAACAACATACGCCTTTTTTTGAAACCCACCAAAAAGATGCAAGTGTCAGGCAAAATTATCAAACCGGCAAAAAAAATTGGGCGCGAAAACGAAAAGAATCGAAGAAAACAGCCTTGCAATCTGTATCCACGCGCAGGGAGTTAAAAAGTGACTACAAATACATGAAGAGTAGATGCAAAAATGTAGATTATACTGCAGAACATCGTCACAAAAAATGGCACTAGGTCTGTGGTTGGATAACTGATGCTTTATTTATAGCTATCGAACACACGAAAAGTCTGCTTGTTGAGCCTCCAAAATCTCCAAGAGAATATTTAATTAAAATGACATTCCCAAATTTCAGACGAGAGAGGCTTTCAAAATACAGTTCTGTGTACAGTAAAAAAAAGTATCTTTCTTTGCATTTTCTTTTCAAGCAAGTCCGTAAGGAAATCTTGAATGCAGTACAATACTGTACATTCAATTGACCAGGAATAGTACAAATATTATAATTATCTATCGTTTAAGGATGATCAAAGCGACCAAAAAATAATTGCGGCGCGAGAAAGCGATTTTGGTTTAAAATTCCTTTTCAATACGAATAACGAATACAAAGTACAACTTCCTACTACTTACACAAATTCTGGGTACTTCAGTGTACATCTTTCGGTTACCAAAAATTTCGCTTGAGTACGTCAGAATATTGTACTTACCGAAGAGAGAAGCTTCCAAATTTCAGCGTCGGCATCCAAAGAACAATCGAATTCATGTGCTTTTCGCGATGGTTGTCCCGGAAATCCTTGTTCCAGTCGAGGAACTCTGAATGGATTTTTTGCTCCGGGAAGTTCGACGTCAACGCCCGCGTCACAAGTTTCTTCAGGGATCACTGGCGCACTTTGCACTGTCAATCGAATATCGAGGGCACGTTTTTTGTTCCTGAATTTTTGCATGACTTTGCTCGGAGTCAGCCATCCCGACGGCGGGGCTTCTTCGCAAACGCGACGCTTCGAAGGAGTTCTCATTGCTATCCCATTCATTCCTGAAATAAAAGAAGACGAAGTCGAAGCGCATCGTCAAATAATCAGAAACTACGCTGAAGATATTTCAATCATCAGAATCACTGTCCGCGCATGCAAAAATGCTTTCTCCTTGACGAGAAATTAAGTTCTCTAACATGGGACCAAAAGCGGCCATTTTCCTAGCAACTTCGGTGAAGTCAGGGGCATTCGCTTGACATCGACTTTCCGAGATTTGTCTAAAATCAGATTCTTCGAAATCCAACGTTCCTTCGCTGTGCAATGATTTTTCCCTAGTTTCCCACTCGAATTGGATTTCTTTGAGCTTTGGCTTGAGCTCCAACAGAAGGACAGGATTGACAGTTCCAGTTTGCTCAAAGGAAATATTCTTATCCTTCGCTTCACTGGTCGACACTGGTTCAAGTACTCCTTCTCCATCGCAGGTAAATTCTTCATCAAGTGGAGGATGTGGAGAGATAAAATGCGGAAGACTTTCCGAGATATTCGAAACAGTATGTGAATCTCGAATGGCTTCGAAATCCAAGATTTTCTCCGGCAAGATCCACTGCTTCAAAATCTGAATTTCACGGTCCAAAGCAGACTTTTTGATAAGACGCGGTACTTCAGTTTCACATTCATTCACAGCCCTCAGCCGATTCACCAGGGAAACAAAATGTATCAGAAGCAAAAAATTGGGATTACACTCGGGTATGTATACGCTCGGTGCAACTGGTTCTCCTCGATGTTCCGCGAGATACACATGGAACTTGACGGCGTTGTTGAGTCTACACGAGAGTGCAGCTGATGCTCGAGACAATCTTACGACTTTCCGACGAACGAAATCGTGAATATCAGACATAGTCGTTCGGCCACAACAGGTTTCGATCGCTGAACGAAATTTCTCCAGAAAATTCAAATAACTTTGTTTACTAAGCTTGTACTGATCGCGGAGGCTCGACACACACAATCGCCTTCCGAGATTAGAAGAGTTACGAACTACCAAAATTGGCTCCCAGGTTGAATGAAGACACCTCACGGGGATTTCTTCCATCAAACTTGTCATCCCTTCTTTAAAAGCGCTCAAAGAATCCTGAGTTAACCTCCTTACTGCTAGAGACAACATGAAACTTTCACTTTCAGTTTCCAAAAAAGTCCATGTATCATTCAAAAATCGGATGGCATTGGAAACGTTAGACAAGAACGAATCATTCGATCTTACAAAATGCGATAAAGCTCCCCTCACTTTAATGAAATGGTAGTAATCAATCCACCGCAAAGTAATGAAAGCGCGAAAAGCTAAGGGCAATCTTTCACGAAACTGAGCATCTCCGGACTTCTTCCGACAGAGGGATTCCGCGATTAATTCGAAGTAAAGCGGTGAACTTGGTGGACTGCAAACATCATCAGCGGGATTCAAGTCTGGGACGACATCTTCAGCTCCTTTGACAGTTTCTAGCAACTCAGAAGCAAGAGATCTGAATGACAAGTCATCCGCAAACTCAGGAACAACTTGCTTCAGGTAAACACCAAGCGGAGAATCCTGCCGAAAGAGAACACTGATTCAAGACCCTTCAGTGAAGATTCGCGATTGACTTTACGGACCTCATCTATGATTTCGACGTAAGCCGACGAATGCATAACACAGGTATTCGTTCAGGGGACCTACCACGAAGAATGCGAATGGCACACAGAATCACGGTCCATCTGTCAAATCGGCACAGGATTACAGCAGTGCTCACCTTTCTTTCTGACTTCTCAAGTCGAAAGCTTATCTTGACCAGCAGGAGCAAGCTCGGAGTGCTGTAGATGAGCTGCGCACGAACATCACCAGGTGACGCGTTTGTTAGATGCTACAGTACAATATTTGTAATATAGATACCACTGGATGCTATCACTTTACACTCGGGAGTACAGTACTGTACTATAATTTATAATACTGTACATTAAAATATAGTGCACATGCTTTACTGAGTGAACCTCAATATGTTGAACCTCCTTAAGTCAAATTTGTTCCAATTTCCTGTCTGAATTCCCTCAGAATCAATGCATTAAAAACCTCCCTAACTCAAAGTCTTTCTCTCTAAAACTTCTGCAAGTCCAATTTTCTATGGACTTCTGGTTATTATTCCTTCAAATATGGAAGAGAAAATCATTAATAAAAAATTTGATGCATCTTGAAGGGAAGCAAAAGACTAATATAGCAAATTAACCCCTGCCATCAAGTTCAGCAAGGTGCTAACTCATTAAGGAGCAAGTTTAGGCCCAGAATATCCTCAATTACAATTTCCTACACTTTTTTACTTCTCCTCACAACAAAAGTCTTCATTTCCGTAAGTGGAAACCTCCAAAAATCAATATCCTCCCAAGTCAAATTTTTTTCCTGGTCCCTAGAAATTTGACTTACAGAACTGTACTGTATTGAGGCCTTTGAAAGTTGTGTGGGACTCTTAATCAGAACTTTATACTGTAGTTCTCTCTGAATTGTAACATTTTCAGGGTATATGAAGCATTTGCTTTCCACCTCTGCATGGTAGCTCTCAAATCACAATGGATTCATTCTATGATACTCATGCAGCTTAAGCTTGGCTGTTCTACAAAATCAGACATCAACAGAAGTGGGAGGATATTGCGGATAGAAGCATACTGTACTGTGAATAAAACCATTCATGGTCCCATAAGGGTTCTCTACCCATCCCATGTAGATAGAGATTTTTTTTTTTTGGAGAACCCCTACTTCTTTTTCTCGTCCCCTAAATTTGTGGTAGAGGAAGTCCATCTGTAATATATTTTCAAAACCTATACTGTATTAATGGAAACCGAACAATTGTCAAACAGTAATTTTATTCTTATAATTCTGCTCACTGATACGCATCCACTGGACCCCCCAAATATCATACGATAAAATATTTGCTCTAATCACCTTCAAGAAAAAATTTTCACGAAACTATAGGGTAACACGATCACAGTGCAAGTGCTAAAATCGTCTCTTTCGCACGCGATTTGGACACGAAAAAAAAATGAACATCAGTCTCGTCTTCGACTAAACATGAATGGTGTACATGACAGCGTGGAAAAAGACTGCTCCGCGAATTCCGGAAGTATGCTCAACAACGGTTCAAATTCCACTTTTCCGATTCCCAATGCAAACGCAAAACAATTTTCAATAAAGACACGCTTTGATCCAAAGTGCAACCTACCAAGAAACTTCCGCAGAATGATGGGCATAACCGAAATTTGCCAAACTGGAACATCCGCAACCGTTCAAAAATCCAAATAAATCATAGGAATAATTGGTAAAATCGACAACCCGCACACAGCTTGCAACAAGTTCTAAAACTTCGCGTGCCTCTGTAATACTAAAAATTAAAAAAATATTTCCAGCCAACTGATTCCGCGTTAATGAAAAAGTCTCGAATTACACGAAGACAACAGAAGATTTGCATTTTAAAAATGAAACCAGTCAAACCATCATCGTTAGGCAACTCCGAATTTGAACTAATCGAGGAGTAACAGTAGAATCGCAAGCAAGCGCACCGATAAACGTCAGGAAAGAAATCTTTGGAAACCTCCACGAGAGAGAACAATTATGACGGATCTGAATTCGTAGAAAAAGAATCCACTTAGTTTTTCTCACGGTTGCCGATTGAACACACAGCAAAAGACGACAGTAGCACAAAATTCGTCAATCCGGGGTGACGTCAACAAACACATCGAAAACATGACCAATCCTTCGAAATAAGGTCCGTAGCAATAATTTCAACTCCTCTTTGGAGTCACTTGCAATGAGCTCACACAGCAACGGGTAATAGGCACGTACATGGCTCCGAAACTGCGAAAAAAAAGTGACATTTATCAAGGAAACTGAACATTTTCGGGAAAACGAGGCTAATTCCAAAAGATTTCACGAAGGCAAGCAATTTGAACTGATTTTCAAATCAAAGTTGCTAGACCCCACTCAGAAAATGTTCCTATGTGCCTCTGTCACCACTGCATTGCAAGCTGATCAATCATACGCAGTTTTCGTGAAGAACCCTCGCATTACTTCAGTTTTTTCGCAAGATTTAAATCCGGGAGTAAAACTCCCCCTCAAAAAGAATCGATTCTCAGTCTCAAAGAAATGCGAACTCAAAAATGAACAGACTAATCACAATATCGACATGGTGCGACGTAATACTCACGTCATCATCTGACAGTTGCATGATGCGCGTAAACACAAGGACAATTATCGGGGTCCAAGCTCCACGATAGGATTCAAACGGCAGATTCAGGTAATCACTCACTGCCGACGTACAAAGGGCAATCAGTCTACCGTTCACTGTTTTCCTCGTCGCGTCATCAAAACGCTCATCACAACTCATCCTGAACATCATTCTTAAGGCACAGGCTAGACTCTGTGTTTCTTGCCGCAACAACGTCGGTTTCGCATTTCCCTTGAAACCTACGAATGCGACACGAAAACAATGCATAAATCGGCAAAATTCAACGAATAAATTGATTAAGTTACCCACCGGCTTTCCACAGAATCATCCTTTGCTCATGATGGTTATTGAACGACTTGGCCAAATCGTAAGAGTTTTGCAAACATTCGAGGATCTTGAAAAGATGCGGGGCTTCCAAAAAGGGATACATTCCGTTTTCTTCGCCGAACGATTCTGAACGAATACTGATCTCACTCATTGTCGCCTTCAAAGATCAACAGAAAGTCAGCAAAAATTGTTTCGAAATTCTAGATTAGCCATCTGAAATCCTCGTAATACAAAGCAATCAGAGAAAAACAATTCAAAGGCAGTCCAAAAACAATGAGGAAAAAAAAAATCACAACGACCCGAAACTCGCACCTTTGCAGCAGCCAAATAGGACGCATCTTCTTTCCTACTTGTCGCAGGGAAAAATAGTACGTGATCCACGGTCTGAATAAGTTCCAGTTGAACAATGCACTTCACCAAAAGTGAGGCAAAAATTCCGTGACTGGACATCTGGCAAGTGAAAGGAAAGAAAATCATATAATTTGAAAAATCAGGAACTTTTTATCAAATCGCACCGAGTATGGTTGACTTTTTGGTTGTCGACTCCCATCGTCATTCACCAAACTCTGACGGCTGTCAGATCGCTTCAAAATACCTGGAAGGTACGCAGAGTTGCTCATATCCGCCGTAAGGCCAGTGTCCACCTGCTTTGATTCGGAACAATACGCGTGGGATGCAATTATTTAAAAAATAATAATTTTGCAAAAATGTTAAAAACCTCGTTAGACCCAGAGACATTGCCGGATGTCGCAGCGCATTCATCCGGTTTCCAGGTCATTAAAGCTTGGGGCAAAGTTCCACCAAAAGCGTCCTTGAGCGTCTCACACGTGATCATCCATGTTTCTCCGTTGAACCTGGATCCATTGGAAATTACCAGGTTTTCCAGGCAATTTGCAGCGGACCGTGCCAGCTGCTCATTATCTAGAAAAAAAAAAAACCTTTAATGTCTCAAACGAAACCTAGCAAAAAAAAATCATCTTCAATTCAACGCAAGACATTCACGATTTTTCGACTTGACACGGTGTCGTCTGAATTTAGGGCTTCGTGAGGTAAAAGTTGAGTTATTGGGAAAGTTAGCAATTCAAACGACAACTACTTAAAATTCCACAGCAACGTCGGGTAGAAATAAATTAAAAACACTGGACTAAATGAAAAGAACACACACTCACCTTGTTGAATGCACCACAAGAGCTGATTATACATATCCTTCAACAAGATTGAATGCAGCGAGTCAAAGAATTGCGTGAACACGTCCACCAATGCGTACAAGGCGTGATTGCACGTGGTCGTCATCCATTCTTCCTTATGCTACACAAGATGTTCACCCCATCAACAACCGTAGACAACCAGAAACGTGACACTCAAGAATTTTCCAATCAAAACCAAGTTGAAACGTTCAACAAAACGAAGCGGACGAAGAATACAAGTGCAACGCAAAGCAAAGACTAACCTCCGACAATCGCGTCCTCGACTCCATCTGAAGCTGTGGCAAAAGCACGGAAAGAAAAGACGTGAATAAACGAATGTCCGAAATGTGCAAAGCCCAGAAAAAAGGAACAAATTTAGAAACTCCACGGATGCTACAGCGAGAACATTTAATCACATGAACTACGTACAAAACGACAAGTCCTATCGAGATAGCCCCAGGATTACGGTACAACACTTTCGACTAGATGAATTGAACTGAAAATGAAATGCTTTCGAATGAATCTGACTTACTTCGTACTCTTCATCAGGGATTTTCATCACATCAAAGATGCGGAAGAGGAGATGAAACAAATCGTTCCACCAATGAGGATGAAACGTGCTCCCGTGAGTCTTAATGATGTCGAATAGCACCGTTAGGGCACGGGTTCGAACATCCAATTTACACCGGTTGATTATGCACGAGAGCTCGAACAGCAATGGGAACCAACCCCTCACCCAAACTCGGTCTTCTTCGGAGACACTCAACTCGTCCATATTGTGCTCAAGGAAGTACTGTAGAATAAAATTAATACTGTACTGTATTTAAGAAACAATAATTTTTAACCAAAAACAAAACAATCTTGAAAATTAAAAAACGAACTTCAACTACCTCAGAGGATGTCAAAATACTAATTACAACACTTACATTCCATAGATATTTTGTCTGTTTCATCGGAAAATTACTCAAGTGCTGGTAGATGTCACCCATTGTCAGAAGGGCGCTTCAGGCAAATTCTCTACATTCATGTGATTCTGGGTTTATCATGCGGGCGTCTTCTCAGTATCTCACACGTAAATTCGGAAAAAAATGGTAACAAATTGATTAAAACTGTTTTTCTGGAACATATTCTTATCGATTCAAGAAATTATTACAAAACCTTAACGTACGCAGAAAAAACGTTTATGCTATTATGTGCGTGTTTCATCTGAGATACTGAATCGTCCATTCCACAATGATTTTTCTAACGCCAATATTTTTTCAATTTTCGTTTGTAGTACTGTATTAGATTTTTACATCTTCAATTTTAGTGCAAATTACATGAGGTCGTTGATCGACATATTTCGCACAATTGCGAATCAGTCGAATGGCTTCCATGCAAGTATCCGGGAAGCAGGCATTGCACGCAAATTCACTCAAGCATTTGACCGCGTCTTGAAACGAGTCAATGACCGAATGGAACTTCTTCTCGAACACTTGTGCTGCAGATGAAAAAAATAATGAAATCTTTAATCAAAATACCAGACTTGAAAAAAAGCGAAGACGAATACTTACAAACAATCTTATTCGTTGTCTGAAAAGCCAATTCGACGATACTTTCGTCCTGATCAGAAGCAGCTAAATGAAAGACGCTAAAAATATTCTTCCAACCCGACTTGATGTTATCTGCCTGCGAATTCACCATCTGCGCGATACATCTTACAACCATGTCTCGAACGGTTGGGGACCTAAAAAATGCAACATTATTTATCTTCCATTTTTTTGAAAAAGAAAAATCGTGAATAAGTTGAGTTCGTAAGCATGAGTACATAAAAAGAGTTCTTCACACGCGAAAATTTGATGAAATAATCAATATGTACGGTTGATATTCAAGAGAAAAGCATCAAAATGATGAAGAAAATTCTTCACCTATTTTTCTTCATTATCGTTTCAAACGGACGCAAGAAGTCCTTCTGAAAACGGAAATTCGGCAGTTCGCCCTTTTCCAAAAACTTCATGGACAGCTGCCGTAGAGAATCAATTGCAAAGAAAGCAATTTCTTCATTCGGATGGCATCCTACGCGGTTGAAGTGTTCCCCTAGAACTTGCCAAATCCTGCTCCACTGCAACCTGATGCGTCCCATGTTGTAGTACGAAATTTCAACGATTTTTTGCAAGCTGAACATGCGCGGACGCGGCATGGCAGCCAATTCATCGCTCGATACTTGACAAAGAGCTTCGACAAAGCTCACTATCGCGTCTCCATCGAGATGCACGGAACCGGTGAAGATGCGATCCACAGCAACCACAACGCTCTGAGAACTGGCTTGGTTGATGGACTCTTTGACGGAAGCCAGTCTCTTCTGGTCACTAATAGAACTCACTGCCGATAGAGCAAATTTTTACGCAAATGGAAGCGTACATCAGAAAAAAAGAAACAAAATCTTACAATCCTCACAGAACTACTGCACAACCGAATATTACGCGAAAATTCCCCATTCCAAATATGATGGTAGTAATTGAAGAGCAAAATATCAGCACAGAAGCCCTCATTACCAGAACAAGCTTGATCAAGGTACGTTCATTCGGTAAATTGAACCATTTTAACGCTTCAGAGACGGTTACTTCTTATTAGAAACAAAACCTTCAAAAATGACATTAAGGATATATTTTCGGAAGATATAATGGACAGGATATTACGCGAAGTTTGGAACATGAGTAATGTACATGTGTTTTTAATTTTAATATTAATACTACAAAGGGTCTTATTAAACCATCACACAGACTACTGACGCAATTTCGTAAATGACATAAAAATGACGAACAGGCAGTAGAAGAACACTGACGACCATGCAGGGATGTTCTGGCGCATGCAAACAAACAAACTGTCGCTCAAATAATTTTCTTAACGGCGAAAATTTGAACTTCAACAAAAGCTTACTTCACATGCACGTAGATCCCGAGACCAATCAATGTACGAGGGAGTGGAATGTAATGTGGCACTAAAATGTCCCTTACATAAATGAATTTGAGCGTATCAGGAAAGAGAGAAGATTAATCGACACAGGATTTGTCATTGAAGAATACAGAAAAATTCGTCAGAAGGACGAAACAGCCACAACCATGCAGGGGAATACATATTTTTGTTTTTGCTTTTGATCAACATGCATGTATTTTATACGGTGCGAGAAAGTCATGAAGTATTGAACGCCAGTTATTAGCAACATACGATCCAGGTTGTCCGGCAAAACGAATCCCGCATGATCGTCGCTTCCAGCCCCTTTGGAAAAGTTAGTCCACGCACCCAAGTTCAAGTTGAGCACCAGGCCCATACCGCTGACCGGAACCCCAACGATCCCAGACGGGTACGATGCTTTCTGACCACTTCCGCCACGTCCGGCCGCAGCAGGATTCGAAGAAAGTAGCTGAGCAAGCTCAAGTTGGGAGATGCAACGCAGAACGTCCAACCACGCATGGCCCAGGTAATTCCCGTCCGATTGCGCAACAAATATTAACGTCTTGATTGTGTCTATGTTTTTGGCTTTCATCTCGCTGATGGGGGATGTCGCAGTCAAAAGAGAGAATCTTGCAATGGCTTGGACATACGCGTCCCTCTCCAACTGCGATGCATACATGAGAAGTACACAAGTTAAGATTTCTTTCTCTATGTGAAGAATTAAAATGGATTGCTGGAATTGTGGGTCTCATAAATCGCATCAGAAAAAAATGAAACGAAGCACATTCTTCATTTCAATTCCCAACTCTATTTGTATGATGGTTACAAAAGTTGCAAATGAATCTGGTCGAACTTCATTCCAACAAGATACATTAGGTTAGGTTGGAAAATATTAGTTCGAACGCAGAGATTATTATTACGGTATTAATCTTCTGAAAAATATTACTGACGAAATTCCAGGCGCCTGGCGTTGAAGCAAACCGAAAAAAAAAAACAAGTTTCACAGAGAAATAATTGTGGCGGGGTAATTTCCGAGGAAGGCAGACTCATTGCGACATTCGAAAGCTCATCTTGAGGGATTTGACATTTAAAAATTTCCACAAAATTTCTCATCGAATTTAATCACGCATTAAAACCGATTTTGTGTTCAGGATGATGCAAGATAATCTCAGCAACTATTACTCAAAAAGTACTATGGATTTGTGGAGAATACACACAGGACGTGACTCACCTCCATTCGAAAAATACACGCAATACGAATCGCGCATCTAATTCCTTGCAGGCACAACGTCGCAACATCAGCATCATCACAATCTTGAAGATCAACACTGAACGCAGCCAATAACGATGCCCAAGCCACCTTCATTAACATGAGGAAGCGGGCATTGGAAGACAATGATACGTGAGAATTTTTCAAAATCTATGGCAACTCACCCGAAACATAGGTCGAACATGTTCCAAATGGACAGCTTGAGTGAACAGGGTGTCAACATGCGACGCTGCCTGCATCAAGGCTTGAGCAGTCTCAGAGATTTGTTCTAGCTCCATGTTGTACACAAGTCGGCGCTTTTTTTCATTCGTTACGACTAAAATAAGAAGAAAAAAAATTAGATGTCAGTTCAAAGATTGAATTGATGAAAATTCATTGCGAACATTGCACGCCAAACACTGCGAAAAATTGACCCTCATGCACTTCAACTTCAGATCAATCATTAGTAAAGATTATCCTTTCCCAAAAAAATAGCCCAACGAAGTTCTAACAAATTTCAAGTCTTTTTCTTCTTCAAAATGAGGTAACATTTTCAATATGAACGAAGAAATAAATGAAAAAAAGTAATAATTCGGAGCTCACTTTGTCTTTCTGGTCGACCAGAGGATTTCATCTTGATCTCATTGGTAAAAATTTCGTCATAAATTTTCGACAGGTATTCCTCCGGTAAATCTTTGCTGTCGTTGATCCCACGATTCATCTTGATGTATTGCTCCTTCGTCATTTTGTTCTTCACGCGAGGTGAATGCAGATCCGTCGTCAACATAATGATTGAATACGCCAACACATACGCTGTGTCAGCACTTGCAAACAACCCCTGGCTAGATTAGTTGAAAAACACCTTATAAATATAATTTAATAGTTGGGGCTCACTCATTTTTGCCATACAGTTCATTTACTCATTAATTTATCTGACGAAGATCAACATAAACTCACTTTGCATTGCAGTCACAGTAACGTGACGCAAATTTCTCCATCAATCGATCGATTTTCTGAGCTTCGCCGGGAAGACGAAATCCTTCCAAAAATTGACGAAGGGCGACCACAAATTCCTTGTCGGTAAAATCCATTTGATCGATGTACGAATACATAACCTAAAATTGAAATAAAACCAAACCGATAAAATGATAAAGAATAGACAAATTATACGAAGTATCACCTCTTTATTAAAGTCGTCGCCTTCTCCCAAAAAATCTCCGATGAGCGTTTTATTCAACCTATCGTCATTATGAAAAAAACTTGCCACAGCGTCCGGGGTTTTCCCCACTAGTTCTTTCTCCTGCAAGAATGCGATTCCTTTCTTGGGCTTTCGGTTAAACCTGAGGACAAAAATTCGAGAAAAAAATGCAGGTAAATGGGTTGGATGCGAACAGATAATATTTTTGGGACTTACAAATCAATTCCTTCTTCCCAAACAGCCTTTTGTTGCTTCAAAACTTCGACACGCTGCGGATCTAATGCACTTGACTTCGAATGCTGCACGGGTGGACTTGGGTTCATTCCCGAACTCGGCAAGTAACCGTAATTGGACGAAAGTGGAGTGATGAGTGATGAAGGCCCCGTTTGACTGTCAATTTTATCAACGCCATTTTCTTTCACTGCAGAATTTCCTTGCAAGTCACCAGCTGGAAAGATTAATGAAAATTTTCTTAGTTCAGTGACGCTTACACAAAACGAGACGTCTACAAATTACGGTTCATTTATTGAAGAAACCATGGTTGGAATGCAAATCTCGTTCCAGCAATCCTGAATTATTTAACCAAGGAAAAAGTTTCTAAGCTGTACAGAAATATCGCTGCTAGTCAAAGCAATTTTCCGAATTGTGACAGAATCAATAAAACGTTTCCGTTCCTAGTAAAAGAAGAAAATTACTATACTTCAACGTAGGAAAGGAATCTCACCGAAACTTGATTGCATCTGCGGTGCTGCATATTGATCTTTGCACCATTCCACCATTCCCCGGAGAAGGGAAACAAGACATTGCAAACCTTTCACACGGATCGTTTGCTCTTGGGACGGAGTCGCGCCGAGTTCCAAAGCCGTCCTTCCTTGCGCAATCTTGCACAAGTCATTGACTAGTCGCTCAAAAATATTCGCAGAACTCAAATCACAATCATAGTTCACGTAGATGTCCACCATGCACTGAGAGTCGGAGCAAATCCGCGTCAAGGCCTGTATCACCATCCATTTATGCTCGAACGTACTGGTCGACGACTCCAGGACATTCAATAGAATATCACGAAAAAAGACCTGGAAGTTTAAAGGATTGTCAGCGTGCGAATAGTTGGTACGAAGAAATTGATATTTACTTCGATCTGTGCCTTCAAATGAACTTTGAACTTGTGAATGAGAACCAGAAATATGGCTAACGACAGCTCGAAGACTTCGGTAACAGGGGAAACTCCATTTCTTGATAATGCAACACAGAGATACTGCCGAATCGCCGTGGTGAACATTTCGTTCGTCTGGAAGACAGGTCCAGCATTCTGAAGAATGACGAGCAGCAACTGAAGTGATAATACTTTGTTTCGATGCTCATGGGATCTGAAAAAAAAGGAACATGCATACAATAAGGCAATACAGTAATAGTATTCATCGACGAAGAATATATATTTTTCCTATGCTTGAAAATTTGACAAAGCTGACTCAAAAGATTATGAAACACACAATTGAGCTCAAAACCTGAAGCATTAAAATTCTTTAAAAAAAAACTCGTTTATTTTACAATACAACGCGAGAAACAATTCCTTGCTAAGGCAAATATCATTTTTTTACAATATACAGGTTTAGTGAACTAACTAAACCTGCCCTTTTACTTTCAATAACTGTACTGTACAACTAAGTCGCTGGAAATTAGGTTCAGTCCGATCAGGTTCAAAATTTAGGAGACAGTCGTAAGACATTCCAAGAAGATTAAAAAAAAAAGCATGGACATTTTCCGAGAAAGCCTTAATATCGATTTTTAACTTTAACTCTTGATCATTTTCATTGACTTAGCCTCACTACTTTCATCACAGAACATTGAATCAATTCTCACCTCGGATCCACTTCACGCAAAGGTTTCATCGATAATTTGCATAAAGCTCTGAACACTAGAAAAGCGTCCTTTTGCGCTACATGGGTGAATCTGGCGGTCATAACATCGTGTAAAGAATCTTGAATATCTAAGCTTTCTTGGGATGAAACTCGTTGTGGCACTGACGGATTCACCTGAGCTGCCGATGCATGAGCACGTTTTTCTGTTGGAAAAATAATGTAGTGTATAAACGGTAAATAGATTAAATGAACAGAACACGTCCATGGAATTACGGGAAAACACTCCGAAAACGAATACTTCGGACGCAAATGCAAAAAATTAAACTTACTTTCTTCACTGTCTTGGACAACATCCTTTATGAGACCTTCGATGATGTTCACAACAATTGAATCAAAATCTTCGGGACTCATGACTGTTCTTTCACCTCCTTCCTCACTTTCCGCAATTGGATTCGGAGATTCTTTGAGAAGGAAAGTTTTTTTTACAATTTCAATATAAATCACTACCGCATTTTCGAATAGTTATTACCCTCGACAGGGGAAGAATGGGACCCATCTCCTTGATCGTTTGCTTCGCTGCACGATTCAATATCCTTTTCTTTCTGATCATCATTCATGTCGTTCAATTGAGGTTCGACACATTGGGATGACTTGCTCGTGAGAGAACTTTCAGAAACAGATGACGTCAGACAATTCGTGACCGCAAGTTCATTAGTTAAAATGGGCTCTTTTTTCGCTTGTTCCATCCTACTGAAGATGACGTTCATCATTTGCGTTAAAGTTGCCTTCGCTGTGGTCTGGTTCACTAGATTCCGACTTCCCAGGCATATGTTGTAGCACGTCCGTACAGCCTGAACTAGGGTTGCTTCGTGCACCTCCAATGTGTTCGACGTGATCACAGTAAGGAGCGCCTGTCATAAATATTTCCCGTGACATTCCGACAATAGCTTTTCAAGCTTTAATCGCCAGAAGGTGCGATAAAAAGAAAATCTCTACCTTGAGTACTTGAAGCTGCACTTTATCGTCAGTCGCTGAACTGGTGAAACAACAGCAAATTGCTTCGACAATTCTGTCGATAAGCTGCTTTTCAGGGTTGGTTTCGTCAGGTACATGCCCGGTTAAATGACCATAGGCCATTAATTTCTAAAATAAATTTCAACACAAGACGTCAGCAAGAAGCGGAAACATAGAACTCGAGGAAAAGCGTCGCAATAACCATCACAATAACTATAAAAACGCCTTAAATTTTGAGGCTTCGATTTCAACAAAAAGTTCACATTTTGAGAGCATTTTCAGTTTTCCGTCAACCATAGTTTTTGAGATACTGCACTTCGAAATGTTGTGATCAATTCGGCCATTTCTTTGACATTTTAAGCATCCGATCATTTGATGGATACAAACATGAAACAAAAACGAATCAAAAGCAACTAAATTGAGCTTCAAGTTATTTCTAGATACACCGTATTTTCTCTAAGAAATATACGCAATTCAATATAAGCGAAAATGTGATTTTGATAACTTTTCCATTGCGAGGTATTACAGTCCACATTTTTTAAACGAAGAAGAGCACATCAAAATCAAATTTCGCTCAAGATTTACCTGTAACCCATCCAAAGCCGTAACAATGAACTTGGGCGATTTCGACTGCAAAGCCAATTCGAAAGGCAGTATGTACTTCTCGGCATTCATGCTCCCTGCAGTGGACTTCGGCAAGGGCAAAGCGGACGGAGCACCTGACACATGCTCACTGCCCTTCAAGTCCACTTTGATGTCATCTGCAGATAACAGTCCTCAAATGAGGCACCACAAAAACTCGTCCAACAATTCTGTGAAAGCTCTAGGGTTCTTAGAACAGGTCTCGAACAAATCTCACGCATGCAAACTGTGGTACAGTATTAAGAAGCGAAGCAGGTTTAGGGCCTATTCTAAGACGAAGTGCAGTTACAAAGTTAATTCCAATATTGCATGTGTCGGCAATTTTTTAGATAACGGATTTCAAATCTCACTTAGAACTGGGGTTATTCAAACCTGATCGTATCATGTAATTTTATTCAAAACTGTAGAACACAAACATGTTTTGTCAGGTCGTTCGAATCACACCGTGTTTTATGGAAAAATTGAAAGTAGCACAGTCGAAGTTGAAGTTTTGAAAGTCTTTACTGTAATTATAAATCAGCACAACCCCCACAACAATCTTGAGAATACCATCGATTCACTTGAATAAAACTTTTGTAGCTTTGCATTAGAAACTAAGCTGTCGCGATATTTTCTACCGTTCGCAACAAAGATTATCATAAAATTCAGGTTTTCTGCTTTCAGTACATGAAGTTGTCAGAATGATTTCGTAAATACTTACAGTTAATCATGGGAAACAAAAAATGAAATATTAAAAGTGATGGAACAATAATTGTGGATAAACGCAGTAACGTGCATCTAACTAACGCAACAAGAGTCGACGTAAAATATTAAAAATTCAAAATCAATAAAGGGGCAAAGATCGCCGGAAGAAGAAAATTGTTGCAGGTGGCTTGATTCAATCCGAACTACACGCCCTTTTTCCACGTCTTCGATCAATTTAGTCAAATGTAGCGCTTTGATGAACTTGAAACTTTGGAATAACACAGAATTGAGATGATAACTGTATTGATGCACCAAATGTTTTCTCCATGAGAAAACCTCATTGAAAAAAGTGAGAAGCAGCTACGAGGAATGTCTACTCACTCAAAACGCTCTCACATGCGTCTTTCAGCTCAGCATGCTGCGGCCGCTTAATTTCTCTATCTTCAACGATACGCTCTAATGCTTTTGCCAAGAACATGATGACACTCTAGAAATCCATTCACAGCATCGAACAGCGCAACAAAATTTTAATGAGTAATACAGCTATGTATGTTGATCTGAGGGACGAAACAAATATTAGTGGAACGGAAAAGAAGACTTCGTTCTCAAAAACTTGTACATGCAATTTACGCAAGGGGAAGAAACCATACACTTTCAACTGAACCTACTACAGTCCGGAAAACCAACAGAAATCAAGAGAGAAGCGAAAAATTAGAACACAAAAAAGTTGATAAGAGCATAACACAAACCGGTGAGATCACGAATTGCTCACGACCGAACAAATAACTTACGGAGAGCAGTTTCTGCGGCGATTTTTAGTGGGGCGAATTGCGCCTTCTTAACGTCCTTATCATTTAAAAGTTTTTCCAGTGCTCTGACTATGAACATGTTCGCTTCTTTTCTGCAAGCATCTGAAGTCTCCAACACTTCTACACTCATCATGGATTATCAGCCCATGTACTAGTGCACTGAGACCAGCGGAAGCCACATTTCATCGTCGACAATTCTCACAAGTACCCACTCCAGCGCACAATACTTTCGTGCCCAGAAATGACCCAACGAATGAAACGCATTCTCCCGAGAAAAAATTCAAGAGCTACTCGAGGAGCAGCACCCTAGAAATAGATAAACAACCGCAGTTTCCGAGCGCACGTTAATCCCGAACTCAACGGAGAAACACAAAGAAACGCATGAGCAGTACAGCACTGTATCGAATTCAAAAATTGTACTCCAAAGAAAACGAGATTCGTTTCAGAACTTTCAGTACCACCTGCTTTCATTGAATTCTACCTTTCCAGTACTTTCACGTAACTGACGTTAGAAATCAAACACGGCTGAAGATTCACTAGCTTGAATGTAATAGACCGCTCCCGTCAATACCACTTCCGAAACAAACACGTACCGATAACACACGAGTGGCGTATCAACAAAGCTGAAATGCCTCGCCGCATGCTCTGGAATTGATCACCGCTTTCACTAAGAGCCACATACCGCAGTTGATGTCGGGCGACATGAGTCATAAGGGATCAGAAAATGTTCACAGAGCATGTCAGGGGATTCATCGAAAACCAGATGCTTTCCTATACAGATCCTTTGTCTCAAGAAATTTCACATACTATACATATAGGTGCACGTGGAAAGATGATTCTCAATTCCTCCTTGATATCCTGTCGTAAACGTAGTTCGATTGTTCTGCTGCACTTCACTTACCAGATGTAATTTAATATTGAGAATGAATATATTAACAATACTTCTCATAATTTACTGTAATTACAGTGCATATGTGATACAATATCTCTTCCAAGAGACAAAAATTAACAGGTGGGAAAATGTACTTCTTTCAACCAGGTTACACAAACAAATTTTGTGATCCTACACTATACAGTACAGGTTTATGGAAGTTAATTCCTATGTCTTCCAAATTTGACATCTTGATAACCTGTATGATAACCCCATTCAAAAACTTGAAAATCGCAGTAAGCAAAGGAAATGTGTTCGCGAGGTGTGTAAATGTACAATTCATGCACCAAAAGTAGAACCTTCTTACGAAGTCTGCGAACCCTAACCATGTAAACTGTCTCTCCACAATTATCTTTCTGATGTTAGCAAATACTGCACATCAGGTATACAGTAGTTTCAAATAGTGTTATGATTTAGAGATCTTAAAAAATTCATTCCTAAAGGCATATCACAATCCATTCTAAAGAAAGTAAAGAAGAATGTGTTCAAGTATTTTCTGGTATTGTCAAAGTGGGGAATCTTCACGTATATGGAGCAACAGAATGCGGCTGTACCAATTGATCTAAAATTGAATACTGCATAATCCATAAACGAGCTCAGGTTTCTGATGTGAAGGTTTTCATGCGAGTTTCCATTCTTAGGTTTTCATCAGAGAAAATATTCAAAAGCATCATCATGTCAAGAACACAAAAATATGACAATCTTTGGTCACAAGACAAAATAATAAAACTAAGCGCTTTAAACAAGTGTATTTTCAACAACAGGGCAATTCCATTAACAAATAACACGCGGTCGAGGAAACCACGAAAATCTTGAATTCAAAAATATAGACCATACGCTTTTTTCTAGATTCTTAAAATATCAATGTAGGAGACTCCGCGTCAAAGCAGCCAACCTTCCAAACAACATAATGAGCACACGTTCCAAATTACCCCAGTTAAATCAACACCATTTCAACAATTTCAATGCAACAAAAATAAAAGTTACTCTTGCTTCGTTGACTTTTTCTCTTTCGCACTTTTCTCCCTTTTCTTCTGTTGCTTTTTGGAAGATGCAACGGACTTACTTTCACTACCTGAAAAAAGCCAACCGAAGATGAATGTCGCTGTCTTTTTTGATACCCACATCGAGATGAGAAAAGCTACTAGCAAGGCAGCCCAAACGTCTATCAGATAATACTGGAACCAGTAGAGATTCTTAGCAGTCGACTGTAAATGCTCGGCACCGTTATGACGAACGACGTACTCCATCCAATAGACAGCTCGTTCAACAGGGGGCTGCGGTTGGTCTTTGAACTGTCGCGATTTAAGATCCAGCCGTTCTTTGTACCTGCGAATGAAAACGAAAGCCCTGTGAATTTCTAACCCTCTAAGATTAGTTTACAATAGGTACCACAATCCACATGAAAGGTTGAAATGGTTATGAGTATCTTGAGGTGAGTTCAGAAACAGTGTTTCTCAACCTCTTCGAGCCCGCGGACCAGAAAATTTCGATACACTTTTTGCAGGCCGGCAAAGTTGCATAACATTTTTGTTGACCAATGAACCATTTTTAAATACCTGTCATCAAGTCCATTAACCAAAACTTTGATTGAAAAAAATTGAGTTATGAACCACTGAAGCAGATATCCTGGAATGTTTTCAAAAATTAAGAAGATGGACTTGAAGAAAAGATTCTCAGAATGAATAGAATACTTCGAATGATTTATTTTAGCAGGTGAAAAATTGTATTTTTCGCTATAAGGAGGAAAACACATTTTTTGTTCATTTTTCATCACATCATTTCAACAGCCATCGTTTTTCTGAAACTTCAGATCTTGAGAAAAGATTTTAGTATGACCTAAGATAAAATTATAATGCTGAATAAAATTTCTCCCAGACCGGCAAAAAATTTCTGCGGACAAGCGCAGGACCGCGGACCACAGGTTGCTGACCACTTAGTCAGATAATTTAGAATACTTCGGTGTCAGGTTACTTTTTCTGTGGGCATGTTCAGGCTTCCATTTTTGCAGCTTTGGCAAGACATTTTGAAGGGCTGCTTCAAGCAACCATGCAATTTCCTTTTTCTATTTCGAGACATGAAAGAGCGGAAAAATCTTAGACAAAAGCGGACCTTGGCTCGAACATGACTGTTTTCAGTGCAGAAATGATTTCTTCTGCTGACAGCGAACTCCAAGAGAGCGTCACTCCTGTTCCGGCAGCCAACACATGCTCCATGTTCATGTGCTGATCAGCACCGACGGGAAGGCCAACCAACGGTACGCCATGGTAAATAGCTTCTTGCGTGCTCAGCAAACCACCGTGCGTGATAAACGCTTTAATCCGTTTGTGTCCTGCAAAAAACAATGTACAGTCGAACACCGTTAGGACGCCTACAAATCTTTCCTATTAATAAAAGCATTCGAAACCAAGTTAAAACGCCATCCCCAAAAATTACTGACATTTCAAATATGCTCCTGCCAATTAATTTCATCTTCAATAGTCCACCAGCAAGGTCGAAGTGTCTGCAAGAGGTAGCCAATAAAATAAAAACACGAACGCGAAGATGAATTTACTTCTTGGGAACATTAACTCAATATGATTAACGCATCCCAGGGTTATTTTGATTGTTTTCCAGAAAAATTCGAATTTTATTTATCATTATAATCAATTTTTATTTCATTAGTTTTTTTTAATTAACCACCAACCCATTAAACCGCCACAAACAGATGGTGTCGGCTTACCGAGGTTCGCTTGCGAATCAATTGCGTAAATAAAAATAAAAAAAGGACAGCTCCCGGCTTTACCTAATAGATCTTGCTGAGGTAGCCACGTAGATAACTTCACATTCGGGGGAAGTCCATCCATCTGTTCACTATCCCATTTCCACAGGAATCGTAACCTCGGGAACTTCGAAAATGCATCGATGAACATTTTGCGGCGCGATGGAGGAATTTTAGACGGATTCACGGCACTACCGAGACTGAATAAGACGAATCCATCTTCACTTCCGGACACCCACTCCTCCAGTTCCTAGGAAAAATCAAGAAATAAGTGTAGGTATGCATTGTCCCTGTACAATATTTAAGATTCTGTACATACTTTTCTGGTCAATCAGACAATTTACTATATTCACAAAAGCACACCACACTTAGATTTTTCTTCTCAAAACCGAAAGGAAAAATTAAGGGTGTTATACTGTTATCCATACTTGATTCTAATGGGTGATTTTTGGCCGATGTTGATAATTTTTGCAATGGAAACAATTGAGAAGTACAGTACTGTAATTGTTTAGAAGTTCAACGTACAGTATGTTCAAATTTATTCCGGAGAGTGACTTATATTCGAAAAAATATTTTCAGTCAATAAAAAATGGATCTCGTGCCGTATTCACAGATGAGATTTCATCAGAATGTTAAGCTTAAAAATATGGGTGCATGCCATACACAAAGGCGAGTGGCACTTCGGTAAAAATGATAGTTGAATTTTGCTTTAATTAACGCAAAAAATTTACTCGAAGTTCTCAAAAAGCTTGAAGGAACTAAATGATTACCTTGGGCAACGCGTTAGCATGAGCACAATGCATTCCGCCAACTTCCACAACTGAGGGCAGCAGCGGTCTGACATCGTGGGTAGAAACATGCGTGTTTGTAAACGTCATTGATGCACTGGCTGTCAGATCAGCAGAATTCAACTGCTTTTCCAACGGCGTGGGAGATGGAGCTAGATAACCCTTCTTTTCGAACTTCTCAAGCAGCAAGGCATCAATACGCCGCCAGTAGTAATATTGCTCTATCGGCCGTGAGAGCAGATAAGCAAGCGTGTTGGCCAATCGCTTCGGGAAAGATAACGTTTTGGAGCCATCGAAAAACGGAGAGGTCATAAACGAAGTTACGTCCCTGAATCCGTTGGAATGTGAAAGCCACGGGAACATCCCGGAGGTGGATACCAGCACGAGAGGGGCCTAAAAATGGAAAGATATAAAATTTAAAAATACAGTCGAACCTTCCCAAGTCGAACTTCCAAGGGACCATAAAAAAAATCGAGTTAGGATCACAGGCATTCTTACTAAGGGAAATAAATAAAAGTTACGTGGAAATCGCAACTGATGATATTCTGGGCCTTGAATGAGTTGACAGGATGCTGAATTTGGAGGCAAGAGTTCATTTGTTCAAGTACAATAGTCTTTCACTTACTTACAAAATAAATCAGGATACATATTTACTGCTTTCTCTTTCATTTGTAAATAAAATAACAGCAAAATGGCCGACATCAATTTCGAATTACGGAGGTTGGAGGGCCCGAGCCGTTGAGTTAGGGAGGTTCTTAATGCATTGCCTCTAAGGGAGTCCTGAATTCAAACAGGGACTTGAGACAATTTCGACAGAGAGTTCCTGCATGTGTTTTCGGGATGTTCGAGTTACTGAGGTTCAACTGTTCAATTAAAATTAAACTTTTTGCAGCTTCCCTGAATTTACGTTCAGACTTCATTCCGATGCTAATGAAGTGACGATATAAAATTGGTCGTCTACGTGTTGAACATCAATCACAAATTTTACCAAACCAAATACGCTACGATTCGCATGACACATCAAAAATATCACGATACTGTATTCCCCTTTCACGATTAAAAAATAAAAAAGGGAACAAAACCGTCGAGTTTCTGATGATATGCAGAATTACCTGATATATTTTAGCCAATGGATACCAGCATTCATTGAAGAAAGCAGACACCACAATAAGATCGAAGTGAGCGGTTCCGCTTCTCGCTCCTTCCAAAAAGGGCTCCATGGCGTAATGAGAAAGCGTCTTATTGCATGTTTCCACAGCAGCGTCCATAACCCCTATAATCAGAAAAGCATCAGAATACCGCGACGCCTTGCAATGAGCCGTTTGAACATAACACCGCAGAATGATTGACAAAACATTATCTTTCACCAGAGAACAGTGACAGCGTGCGGAATTCTCCCTCTTGGGAAGTGTCGGAACTAAAAATTAGCGTGAATACCTCGGATAAGGACCGACGCAATTTAAGCAGATAAAAAAAAGTAAGAAAAATCAATAACGGGTAGAACCACGCTATTTCACGGTACTCTAAATCCATCCGCAAAACCGCTGGATTTCGAGGCACCATAAAAAAGGAAAAAAATATTGATGGACGGAGTAATAATGCAATTACAATTTCAACATATGAAGCACATTTATGATCTTCCCACAAAAAATATACAAATCGAAAACCAATCGATCACAACTTATTCGTTTCCAACAATCAAATAGCTTCGGAAGGAGTTTGCACAAAAACGCGAAAAATTTCAACGATTAAACACAAGCCTGAAATCATTCTATTTGTAAGCAACACCGCGAACATGGTACTTCAGAAGTCTAGAAAAAATATACTTGTGCAGAAAGTCATCAGGAATCGAATCAACCTCAAACTCTTCATATTCAACCTTCGAAAACGCATTCTTCGCAATAATGCAGTGCGGCCTACGATTAACTTTGCAACCACAACCGAAATACGACCAAAACAGCATCCTGGAAACAATGTTTTGAAGATAATAGTCTCTCGATTGCTTCGGCGCTTCGATATGATCCCAGAAGTAATATCGCCCCCCAGGAACCAATACTCGAAGGATTTCGGCCAAAAATGGCTTGATCAACGTTTCTTTGATCGAGCACAATACAAGAGTAGTCACGACAACATCTACGGTTCCGGTGGGTATTTGCCTCATGGCTTCTCCTCTAGCGACGATGAATTTCTCCAGGTGAACGGGATATTCTCTCTTATTTTTATCGAAGTACTTCAAGAAATATTCGTTCGGGTCAAGCGCAATCAGAACGGAGTTTTTCGGATAGTAGCGAAAATTGGCACCAGTCCCAACTCCGATTTCCAAAATCCGAAACTGTCCTTTGTTCCTAAGTTCCTGAACTCCAGATTTGACATCTTGAAGCTCAGCAAAGAACTCCTCTTTTTTCGATCGGACCATGGAGTCGTAAGTTGGCGAGAACAAATCCATGTACTTCGCGAAAACGATGCAACGTAATTTCGGGGCAACCACGAAAAGGACTTTGCCCACGAAGAAGATGAAAATCGGTATCACAATCAGGCGGTAAGCCCAGAACTGGAATATCACGTCTTCATGAGACATATTGGGAATGTACGGTATCTGAAATACGGATGCGTCGAGATTTCAGAGTTATTAGAAGCTATGAATGACGCAAAAATTACAAAAATTTCGCGGCGTCCGAAAATCAAGACATGAATCGGCATGGGGGCATGTGTGTACGAAATAGAGAAAGTAATTTGAAAAAAGAAAAACGTACCACTGATCAGTTTCACTTTCCCATAAGGACCACCATCTTCGCTCCACATATTCTGCGCAGCGTTATCCAAACTTGAATAAATGCCATCCAGCGTTATTTCCGTAATTCCTTTTACTTGTTTATACGGCTTGTGAGGAGTTATAATGGTCACAAGGTGTCCTCTACCAGCTAGGCCCATAGCCAAAGGCCATAGAACATTTTTGTGACTTTTGCTTGCGAAGGGAAGAACGATGAGAACTTTGTACGGCCCATCGCCCGAATGCTTGCCATCCGACAATGCCTCGGCACATACAAAAACACTTATTATCACAGCACCGAAAAACACGGGAAACAGATTGCTCCTCAATGAGACCATCCTTGAAAAGGAAGTAACAAGTTTCATAAGTCCATCTTTCGCAAGAATGTTCAATGAATTAATAAATTACGATACTGTAAACAGTACAGAGAAAATGCGACTCGCAAACGGATCACGTCGGTGCGGATTGCCGAGGAATAGCGATGGACTAATTCGACATTGAGTACGCCCGGGAGAGCGACAAAATCTTATACAGTACATCTTAAATCGATGTGACAAACACGGAAGTTTAAAAATTCCTCGAAATCGTTCCTTGAGTTGCAACGACCGCACTCACACGCCTTACGAACAACCGGCTTCCGCCGTTCCAAAATTTTCCGGAAAACTTTCATGACCTGGGTGAATGAAACCCGGTTATGAATGGTTCATAGGTGTAGGTGGGATAACAGAACGAACCACACAGTGTGTGAGAGAAAATCGGCAAGTGTTCAATCCCAGGATCGCAGCACCGCGGAAGTGTCACTGTACAGTATTAAAGTTTTAAAAACTTAATAAAAATTCAATTTCAATCAATGATGAATGTATACTCTGTATATGCATGGTTGACCAGAAAATATAAAAAAAATCTTGGTGCATCTTCACTGAAAAATCAATTGAGAGAGCAGATAAAAGCAGGGAAGCTGAAAAACAGCGTTTTCCAGCCACAGCATAAACTGTATAACACAAGCAGAAATTTGAAATCAAATATCGTATATTCAAGTTAATTTCATGATTGGCATTACTGTTGCTTTTGATGATGAATTAAATGCTCTACAAATCGTATCTTCTTTGCCGAGCTTTAATAAATCAAAGTTTATTATTAAATAATATAAAGAGGATGGAGGATATGCCTATGATCAGCGTGATATGATCATGCATAGGACTACTCAATTCAAAAATGAAAGAAGATTGAATGTTCAGGTACTTTTTTTCGGAATTTAAAGGGGACTTCACATGGATTCTACGCGTTATCAGCAATGCCTATTATACAATATTTTCTGCGAGCATCAAACGTATAAAAAACAACTATCGAGAAATTGTCGGTAAATTTCATCTACATGCACTCATTGAGCAGCTATATGATCCCCAATGAGACGAGTAAAAAATTATAGTACTGTACTACAGTATTATAGATAAAAAAATTAGAATATCCACAATCTTGATAAAATTTCCAGTTAGCCGAATAAACATTATAAAATGTTGAAAAATAAAAATGAATCATGAAAAACGAGATACCTATAGGTCATATTACGTTATAAAAACGGCGTTCAAGCGAAAGAAAATTCATCATAATAGGAAATGCATGCCCCTAAATATAATCAGCATATTGCGCTTTCCGATATTGTTCTCGAACCTGGAACGAAGAATTCATATCAATTATTGTATACTGTATACATGAAAACGAGAATGATTAATTGTAATAAATGCTACGTTTATTTTCATCCGAAAAGTTGAAAAATCGTCATTATACGAATTGAAAATCATATCAAGTCATTATTGATAAAAAGATATCGAACAAGATGTTAAAGCCCACCGAAGTTGGCTCACATTTGATGGCAAATACGCGTAACACAACGGACTCGGCGCTCTTCCAAAATCCCAAGATTTCCTTGGAAGCGGGAAAACGGGAACTTTGATAACATTCTGTTGAAAAAAAAAAAAAATTGAGCTGAATACTTCAACCTGTTCAGGATGATAATCAGCACATGCACTGTACAGACCTTTGGAAAAGATAAAGGTTTTAAGTCGATGCAGATATTCATCTTCATCAGTGGAAGTTCCGGCGCGATGCTGATTGAGTCTGATACGGAAGTAAGTAACTCCTTTTTCGAATCCCATTCTCCACTTTCTATGAACATTCCTTCCAGGAAAGTGTCCTGATGCAAAAAGAAAGCAAAAAAAAAAAAAAACATACGGAACTGTAAAATATAGCATGTCAACTAATTGTGTGCTGCCGAGTACTTTAATTTCTTAGTTTGTATAGGAAAGTGCTTGTGATAATTTTGTACGGAATTCCGAAATCGTTGATTGTGACTCAACACATTTTTCAAAAACAAAACAACGCTGTACAGTGTACTTCTTGAAACTGTTGAGCTGTACTCGATTTACTGTAAATAAAAAAATTTGCACTATGGTACAGTCGGCGAGTAATTTCCAAAAATAGCAGAGGAGACGAAAACGGATAGAGGATTTTGAAAGCCTCAATTTTCCTCAAGAAAATCTGTTGAGAATAATATTTTAAATATCGTGGAACAGCTTTAGCGAAGCCTCTGGTGCTTCAAGCTGAAAGCATTCAAGGTTGCAAAGCAAATGAATGATTTTGAACATATATTTCCACTATTACTCTGAACATTATATTTTTCAAAAATAATTTTATTTTCTATCGTGCTTGATTATAGATTGAGATAATTCAAAATTCGCCAATCATGTTAGAAATTGCCAATATCACGTAAACATTATACAAAAAATTCCGCAGAGCTACCAAAAACTAGCCGAAAATACCCATACGAAACAATTTTTAAAAAATTTAAAGAATAGACTTTTATGCACTAAAAAGGGGGAAAATAAACTTTTCCCAAAAATATCCTGGGATAGTGGTCTAATAAAAGTGTGGGGCCAAATTTTTATTTAATACAGAGGATGAGAAAGTATTCAATTAGACCCCACACTTTTATATTTGCTGTCCTTCAAGATGCATGATCAAATTCGATCTGATGGACACGAATGATTTATTGAAAGTGAACTCAAAAGTGATGCACCGCATAGGCTTACATTTTTCAAATTCAGATACTTTATATATGTTACCCTGGAAGTGCGGACTCGCAAAAAAATTCTTGGTATTATTTGCTCACCTTGCAATCCGGCGGAACTTCGCGTTTTTCATGATATTTTGATGGAGTCAAATAAACATTCGGATGCTTTGAGAGTCCAAGTTCTTTGGCTTGTGCTTCTTGAAAAGCAATTATGAACGTCCCAGCCGCAGTCATTTGGCCCAAATGGATGAAATTTATCTTCTTTGCACTTACCTGAAATAAATGATAATGTAAGAGAGCAATGAAGCATGGTGAGATATTCAACTTTTCTCCTTTGGTGATGCTTGATCCAAGCAGTTGGGCACTTGCTTTATTTAATTACTGGAATTAATTTTCAACTTTAATCATGGCTATTATGGACTGAATGAATGAACAGAAAGTTTTATTTTCTGCTTTGCAGCATTGCACAAGGTTCAATCAACATTCCCACATCCAAACCCCCTTGTCCCCACCCAACTCAAATCCAATCAAATGCATTCAATCACTTCAGAATGGGAAACAGAGAAATAAGCTGTATATGGATACCAAAATGAAAGAAAATACATTCCACAATGTACAATTGCACAACTGATGTGTATGCATACACCCTATATGCATTATTACGGAGAAGTTTAAAAATTAGAACAGAAAGGGTAACCATGTGCTGGATTTGCCAATGTTTCTCAGAAAAAGAGGGGAATGCTAAAAAAAAGATACCAAAAAGGAAAGGATCTCTTTGCCAATCAATCAAGACATTTTCTCCGTAGAAAGAAATAAAAAAAATGTTATTCCAATGTTAAAAATCTGATTTTTTCCGTAGTTACCATATCAGTGCAGTGTCGCTTCTGATTTTGAAGATGCACCAACCATTTGTCAATTGCATCAGTAAGAGTAGCATTTGGTGAAGTAAATTTGATGTACTTTTGGAAAGTGTGAGCGTATTGCTCCATAAAATCGGAGTGCAAAGTTCCCTCCTAAAATATGAAAAAAAAACCACGTAAAACAGCATGCATGAATATAATATCGCACAATGAAATTAAAAATGAAAGATTTGACTCACTTTTCCTAATTCTTCCTTGATTGCATTAATAGTTTTGTTGTACGCTTCCACTTCTTTCATCGCAAACTCAACCAAGGGACTCATCGATTTCTCCTCGGGTTCTTTCGTGGTTATTTCCGGAATGTGCTCATTATTCACCTCCGCTGAAACTTCCGAGGCATCTGACGTTTCTGTCGCAATATCTTTCACTTGAGTCTCATCTGTTTATGAGATGATGAAATCATAGAAAAATGTAGAGCTCAAAGATTTTCGAGTTTATAATAAATTATTGAACACTTTACCATCCGCATCAGCTTCTTGCTGTTCCTGTTCCACGGCTGGTTTCTGTTTCACCTCCGAGTGTTTGTGCGAAGGGGTTAGTTTGCCAATTTTCCCGCCTTTTTGCGCATGGGTCAGTTGGTCAGACTTTTTTGTTTCCTTCGCTTCAGCAGCTTTCCTAGATGTCTCAATATCCACTTCGCCGGGCAACCGTTCAAGGATCTCATCGGCAGTCATTATGTCAATTGAATCCAAATTTTCTTCAATGATGTGACTACCTATGATTTGCGAAAAGTAAGCAAGATTCTAGCTAATTTATCCGAGCAAATAAGTTGCTACAGGCAGGGCTGGATGTTAACAGCTACACATTTTGTCATGCATTTGTTATGCATAATTGTCACACCCAGCTTCTTCTGCTACGCCTTGATAATTTTCATGGTTTTTCTTTTGTGTTGTGATGAAAAATTGTTGTGCAATGCATTTGTAATGCATTTGCTACTCATTCCATTGTTACGCCTATACTTTGAAAAATTAGGATGTACTTTTCTTCAGTGTAGCAGGCAGTGTTGTGTACTAAAGCAACAAAGCTTCAGCATCTGACCAAAACCAGCCCAGAAAACTTGCTGCATTTCCAAGGCCAGTGAGCCTTGCAAAAATCCCATTTTTGCAAGACTCACTGAGCCTCACTTAAGGACAAGAAGTGGTCATCACTTCTTCAATTTTACAAAAATTGGCGAATCCTGAGCCAGGAAGAAATCACCTGATTTCTTCCTGACCCAGTCCAAGCACCTGGGTATAAAAACCTTCATTCCTCTTTGAGAGGAGAAGTGAGAACCTAGTGTTAAAGGGCCTTTTAACTTTAATTACTTCATTCAATATTCTGAGCTAACCAACCAATCTTACAATTGACTCTGCCTCTGCCATTCAATTAACAGCCACTTGATAAACTGGGCAATGAGAATGAACTCCTCTGAAAAGAGTTTGAGTTCTTATCAAAACTTGCATTCTGATGGCTGCGCAATTCAATTCCTTTGTCTGGGATCCAATGAACCCATGACAGGCATCATTATGAAATGCCTGCCTGCAACATTAAAAAAATTGTTTCTTTATGATTTTCCTGGAGTGTTGCATGGAGTATCTTAAAACACCTGACTGTTGCTTTCAAAAGCAATATTGCTTTTGAAAAAAGAAAATCTCCAAGAGAACCTGTTGTTGGAACTGCTTTCTTCATAATCTGCAAGCAGTTGATGAACTCGGATCCTCCAAGTGTTAGTCTCAGTTTGTCATCATGTGCTGAGAGGCCAAGGATTTTGCACATGGACTGATCGGGTCCCAGAAGGTCTAAAAAAATATTACGGCATTTAAAAAATAATCGCGGAATGCTTTGTTTCTTTGTTGATGAATCAGACAATCGTTGATATACCGGAAATTTCACTGATAATGGAGCCGGCTTCCGAATCATCGAATATTTGGAAAACTTGTTCCATGTAAAGCTGGATGACACATTCGTCTCCATGGTGAGTTGTATGTCCACCATAAACCGTCTGTTGTGACGAAATATTTTTGTGATTCGAACGAAAAATGTAATAATTTTTTTTCCATAAAGTCCTCACTTTTGTCAAGGCTTCGGCGACATTTGACCAAGTGAGTTCAGGCGCTGTCGAGTCAGAAATGAGCTCGATAGCTATCGTGACTGCTGCTCTGAAATCTTGCTCTGAAAACGGCAAGATTTCTTGGAACCATGTGCCATATTTCATACGTTCCTGCAAAACCAGAAAAACCGGCATCAGGAACTGTTTTCTGGAATATACAGTCCATCCATCATTTTCAGATCTCAATATATATGGTGTAGGAAAATATTCAGGAAGTAATAACTCCACTTATTTCGGGAAAATTTGAGAAGAAACTCTCACGAAGAGCTCTTTGTTCTGTGAAGAGTTAATTTCAACTTTTCAGATGCTCTCAAATAACCCAAAAATACACTCCAACCATTCTTATAAAAATACATGATTATTTACAGACATCAATTATAAGCGGATATCTTGCAAATATTTTCCTTCAAACGAATAAAGGAAATATTTTCAAGAAGGTCAGCTGTTCCGAAACATGGCTCTGAATTTTTTGCAGCTCGCTCAACGCCACCCCCTCAAGAAATTATAAGCACATCAAAAGTATCTTTTTGCAATAATATATGCAATGATGTAGACGAGAAACTGTTTTCTTGATTATCAATTCAATATTTTCAGTGCACAACAAAGCGTAGACAATTTTCCAGGAAGAAACCCCACCTAGAGCAAAAAAGTCGAAAACGAACTCTCACGAGCTCTTGATTTGTGAAGAATTAATTTTAGATGCACATTCCAACCATTCTCATGAACACAAAAAAGATAGGACTGACTTTCAGAAATTTTTCATAGCATAAATCTTTCAAATATTCTCCCTCAAACGAATCAATGAAATATTTCCCAGAAGCTCGCAGTTCCCAAAAATGTCTTTCAATTTTTTGCAACTCACTCAACAACGAAACCCCTCAAGAAATTATGAAAAGTTCCTTCATGCAATAATGCATTTTATAAATGATCATAATTTGTCGTCTCCACAAATATTTTCTTCAGAGTCGAGGGAAGCTCCAACAGATTTTTTCCTACGCCATTTGTATAAATTGTATCTGCAGTTCAGTTATCCGAAATATTTTCTTGCATGATGAACCCCATAAGATATAAATTGGAAAACTTGCCTGCAAAGCAGCATGAAAAAATGCCAGACGTTCCAGAACAATTCTGCACTTGGCTATGGAATGAACTCCAAGTGAAGACAAGGTTACTTGAGTTAGGAAATTTTCCACTTGGTGTAACAATCCTCGCAAGGTGGTGGAAAATTCCTGTTTCGGAAGCGTTGCCAAAATGGCGAAACACGGCTCCATTTTCTGCGATGAAATTATTTTTTTTGGATTGCATAAAAATATTTCTCATAATGCAGAAAAATCTCTGCTTTGGTTCATCAGCAGATAAAGTAACTTACAGAGTTTGAAATGTTGTCAAAACGTCGAAGTTGAACTCCAAGTTTACCCGATATTCTCAGTAATGCAGGTGACAAATCCCAGGGTCCATCACTTGCTATAAGAACTGACACTTTGTTCTTAACACAGGCTTCTACCACGTCATCATACCTGAAGATGAAATAAATGTCCATGATTTAGACCTTTTTTAAACTGACTTCAAAGCCTGCTTGTCCAAAATTTCTGTGCAATTGGAAGTTTTTAATCGATTTTTGGACCACGATGTTCTTCATTAAAGGAGGCGCGAATTAGTCCCCTAATATATGTAACTTTCTGTTTATGCTCATGTATACCAGTTATTTTCTGAATATTCAGTCATTTAACATCGAATTAAATTTTATAATTTCGATTCAAACCTGCTCAGGGCAAGTTGATGGATGAAATCGGCTCCAAGAACCCGAATGATGAATCCCTCAATTTCCCTCAATGTCCATTCTGGTCGAACAGTTGCACAGAGCAATAATCTGAGAAAATGGATGCCTGATGTCCGAAAAAGTGAGGGATCAGTGGCTGAATCAAGATTTGTTTCATCTTCGCAGATAATCGACGCGTGAGGAAAATCCCGGATTTCTATCGGCTTTTGCAGCCACTGCAAAAAAATCATAATTGTTTTACGCAAAAGTAATTTTGCACAGGAAAAGTGCATCAAAGTATACCTTTTTCCACAAGTCTTCTTCAACTGCAATTTCTTCTGTTATTGACTCAAAATGCTCTGGGCATTCTGCAATGAGTCTTGAGATTCCTGCTGCTGCCTGAATCACACAACGTAAAAATCTTAAATACGATGATACCCAAAATTTTTGCAGTAATGGAAACCCCTAACTTCAACTGAAAAAAGCTATGATTTTTAATTTACTTCGTGAATATTACCCTCAAGATATTCTCAAATTACAGTAGAATATTAAACGAGGGGATTTCCACATGAAAAGCACTTGGTTTTATACTGTTTCCAATTTCAAAAATTTGTTCGTCCCATTTTTTTAAATCGGAGTCATGAAATACTACTTCTGAAATACGCATGGGGTTTTCAATTAATTTTTGGTCGTACTCAATTATTTCGAGCATTTGCCAAAACTTCTCGAAAAAAATCATTTTTTAAATAGAGAAGCTGCACAACATGCAGTAGGTAAATAATCAATATAAATACTTATCTTATTCACTTTATTTCGTGCTTATTCCTATATTATATTAATTTTTACCGAAAGATACTGTGTTCCACTAAAAAAATGTCGACTATAATGTTCATACTCAGAATTTTGATCAAAGCGTTTTTGTTTTACCTTCGATGAAATCCAAGGAAAAATTGATGCGATTCCACTGGAATCATCGTAATCTCCTTTGTCGCGATTCAGGAATGCTTCCCACATGCTTTCAGGTAATTTACCGGCTGATTTCTCTTCT